TAAATTTTTTTTATCTAATTCATTCACTTAAGCAAATTAAATTCTCTGTACTCTATTTCTTTCTATATAAATAAGGTTTCATCCCAGTATCAAATAGATGACCCATTCCTATTTTTTCTTAAAATGATATGCTCTAAGTAAATCATCTTAAACTTAATTTGTTCTTAATGATTACCCATCTATTATAATAATCACATTATCCATTTTGAATAAAAAAGATTTTTTTTATAAAAAAATCATGATATAACATACTTTTGGAAATTTGTAATATGAGTATGGTGGGTTTTTTTATGGAATAATACCGGAAAATATTATAAATGGACATGAATGAATAGTATAAGAGAATGTGAATTTTATTTTTAGTTTAAAACTTTAACCAATAAATTCCTAAGTTTTTTTCATTTGCGACTTGATAAAAACACTAAACATAAATCATATTAATCAATGTAATATTTTAATAAAAAAAATATATATTCAAATATTATTCAATTCTCTTCATAATATTTTCTTATTTAGCTTTTGGATTGATCTAGCATGTGAGTGTTGTGTGTGGAGAATATGGTGTGGAAAACTAACCAATTTGACCAATTCATATGATACCCCAAGGCTGATTAAGTTGCCTCAACTCATAATTACTTCGAAAGAATGAGTCAAATCCTTTGTTGATTTTATTGAGAAACCAATCCTACAAAGTCCCAAATTTCCCTTGTGTTTGCACAAAGGAGGGGTTGGCACATAATTTCTGGTCTTAGTTAAGCAAAAATTGGTATGAAAGGTATATTGGGCGCAGCTTTTCTTTACCACATCATTCTTCTTCCTTCTACATGTTGATTTTGATGTATGACTTTTGAAGCAAGTCATTGTTTTCTACCGTATCATTCTCATAGGTAAACTCACTCATTTGAAACCCAATAATTTATTCCCCTTGCTATATCCAACCACGGCACAGTCAACGCTGTAGAGATTTTCATTTCAATAATTACTCTTATCTAACTATATTTTATTCAAATATATAAGTTTAGTTACTAAAAATTCCTCCAGATCTTGCTAACACCACTCCCATATTCCTCACTCATCAATTGTTAAATTCTAATAAGTTAATTTATTATGAATAACATAAGAAAAATATTTCTTCATCCAATTTATCATGACCAAAACTTTAATTTAATTATAGGACTCAAATTCATTATCAAGAATCTCACAAGTATTTAGTTATATCTATTATCTATTAAATTAGTATTAGAACATAGGTCACTAAAATCAAAATATAATAAATAACTTATTAATTAACATAATATTCAAAAATTAAAGAAAAATATTTACTTTCTTTTAAGAAATTTCTATTGATAAATTAAGGTAATATTAATATTAAAAAATGTTACATGTATAAATATAAATTAATAAAGAAGATCTATTAATATTAATATTATCACATATATATTTATCTTTCCAGATTATTAATATCCTATATATCTAATAATTATAATATAAATATTTGAATTATAAATATAAAAGATTTATTATTTTTTATTATTATAATCTCTATTATAATAAAAAAATTTAAATTTTGAAGGATTTATCAAAATAACTATTATATTAAATAAAATATAATATAATAAAAATATTATTTTATAATAAAATCAAAATTATCTGTGATAATTAGATGTTGGTTACATTTAATTTTTTTCAGCCACCAAGACCTAGGTTGAGCCTGCGTCCTTGTCCAGGGTTCGTTGATTTCAGTCATCATCGACTTTATCATTTAAAAATCAAGATGATACGTGATATATCATATTTGTCCAACCAATTTTAGGATCGTAGTTATGTCCTCTCTCTCTCTCTCTCTCTCTCTCTCTCTCTCTATATATATATATATATATATATATATCATATTTCTTCATTCTCAAAACCATCTCATTTATTATTTTTCTTTTAAAAAAAAGAAATATCTTCCAATTAGATTTTATTATATACAATATTCAATATTTTGATAAGTGAATGAACAAAAACGAGAGACGAAACTAGTATAAACTTAATATCAGGTTAATTAAAAACAGACTATCTGAAATAAAATGTTTTATTATAAAAGAATAATATTAACGTCCTTTATCTCCTCTTCTGTTAGACTGAGTGATTATTTAGTTTAAAAAATTTAAAACTAGATTAACTAAAGTACAAACTGTTCGAGATAAAGATATTTATTATAAAATTTACACAACACCGAGTAACGATGATGCGTACAAAAATCAAGTTATATTTGATTTTATTTTTAAATCTATTTTCTTATTTATGATTTTATTAAGAAATCTCAAATCTAGAAATATTATTCCGTTAACGTGAGCTTACAATACAATCTCATTCGTTATTATTCCTGGACAAAATACGCGGGGTGGACGCGCAAACATTCCTTCGCCAAAAGTCTCCTTCCACGACAACTTTAATATTTATATGATGGGTTTACCTTAATCACCACGCCTAATCAATCACACATTTGAACCCTAAATTGGAGTTTCTTCAGATCTTCCTAGGTTATACCGTGTACTACCAAAGTACCACACCTCCTACTAAATATTTCAATTTTGAAGAGTATTTGAGGGAAGCTTCAAGGTTCCTTCGTCGTCAATAATCTATCATCACTTACTTCGTCTCTATTTGACTCTCTGTCAAAACCTTGGGGGAGAAAATAATTTTAAAACAAACACACTTTTCCATGTAGCAATCCATAAATTGTACACAGCAAAAGTGACCTTATTCTGGGGGGGTTTATCCACATGCATGACATTATTCAACCCTACATGTCCAAACCCTACAAATATATAAACAGTTCCGTGCCACTCTTGTTAGGAAGAATGAATAAAATAATGAAATAAATAACTTCTTTCCAAGACACGAAGATGACGATAACTGTGTCACAAAAATAATTAGCACCATGGTAATAACAAAACCAATTTGTCAAGTTCCTTGATGCAAGTGTTAACGTGTGTTAGTTCAAGATTAGGTTTTTTTTATTTTATTTACTTTTCTTAAGAATGTTTTTGTCCTCTTTCATACAAATATGGGTTGTTCGGAATTATTTTAAAGTGACTCCCAAATATTGAAAACCTTAGACCATGTCTCCTTTGATTCCGGCATATATATATATATATATATATATATATATATATATATATATATATATACAGTAGCTGAATTTCACTTTCAATCTTTTCATTCTTTTAGAGGTGCGAAATTTAATAGTATATATGCAAATTGTAAAGTGGTTTTAAAATGTCCACGAAATTTCCCTTCAATTTCAATGTCTTTTGTGTTCTAATTATGTTGGAGATCTCAGATGAATTATAACAAGAAAGTGGATATAAATTTTATAAAAATAAGTTTATTTTATAAGATTAAAATAAACCGAAATTCATTTTCAACATAATATTGAAATACATTTTAATAAGATTCATCGATTTATTATATTTTTCATTACTAAATTAATTAGTATTAATTTTGATATATTTTCGTATCATTTATCCCAATTTTTCTTTATATATTAATCGGTTCACCTAATATTAATTGGTATTAAGTTGAAATCTTAGAATTTTTTAAGTCGAAAAAAATATTAAAAAAGTCTCATATGTCATAATTATGTTCGTCCACATTAATTATTTAAATATGATTTAATTAACAATATATATATTAATATTTTTTAATTGACTAAATATATAATATATAATGTTTAATAATAATAATAAAAAAAGGCTTAATGTTGCATTAAGTCACGGTGGATATTGAATTAATCTCGTCTTTTTCCCTTTAATTTTCCTTTCCTTTAACGAAGGGAAACGAAATAATGAAGAATCCCAATTTGTCCCTTTCATTGTTGTTGGTGAGAAGAGGGTATTTCTACGTTTGACAAGACAAATCCAATGTAATGCTAACTCAACCTCTACAACAAAAACCAGTCTTCATAATAAATACAAATGGAACATTTATCGTGAGACATGCTCATTTTTTTTATTTTTCTTTTAATCCAAAATTGTTTATTAAATCATACCCTAATTTCGTTAGTAATTTGTTTTATCCGAAAAATTTCCACACACAACAAAAAATTAAGAGTCTATTATTATATCTAAACATAAACTAAAATAAATTTATGAATAAACTAGTACATCATAAGTTATGTCTAAGCCTCAAATACTGAACTAGTACAGCTCATGATACCCAGCTTTTAAATTAGATAGGACCCATTAATTGGACATTTGTTTAGAAATGTTGACATTAATTTCTTTGATTTTTCCATGGATGCATGTGAAAATTGATGAACAACACAATATTCAAGAACAAGAGATGAGAAGAAAACTGTTGTTTAAAAAAAAAAAAATGTGAATTCCATATCACGATCAACGTTTATTGATTCAGGTTGAATTTATGACAATTTAAATTACTTTAATTTTGAAATGAGTGTTGAGTTTAGAATAATCCCTAACGTGGTTCCTTAATTTAGTAAGTCATGGTCCCTAGAGTCTCCTAACTAGGGTTTGGTCTTCCATGTCCAATTCAACCACATCTTGGAGACTCCACTGTGCATAAAATAATCAAAAAATATTTTTTTGATCTTTTTATTAAATCGTTGCTACGTTCTCCCTCTTATCTCTTTTCTCCACCCTTTAACTGAGGTCATTTTTCACATTTTATGTACAAATAAGTATATCTTTTTTCTCCACCCTTATGTCATTTTTATATTTTATGTGGAAAAAGTATTAATTTAACAAACGGAATTAAATATTTTAGATGGAAAAAAAAAATACTTAGAAAAATAGACATAGCAAGGACTAGATTGATGGTGTGTACAGTGCAGAAAAATTTCGTCCATAAACGCTGCAGACTACACCCACTATATAGTTCTGCTTCAGAAGTTTGGTTTGGAGGTTAAAGTCTCTGGGAAAACCACCTATATATGGATATCTGATATCACCATCTCTCAGTTGTAGTAACCACCATAAAGGGTTCCATAAATGGAAGAAAAACCTTCTTTAAAAAAATTGCTGGACGATGAAGAAAGGCCTTCTGATAGTAATACAAACACAGGGAACAGAACCGATGAACCCTCCCTTCATAATACTGTAAGTTTTTACTTATCTCATGCTTCTTATTGCTTAATTTATAGCAGATTTTTGAATTGTGGTTGTGATCATAATTCTTTCTAAACCTTAATAAGAAAAAAATATGATCCTTAATTATATGACTATTATTGAGGTTGACCTTGATCCGTATGATCCATTTTTTAAATAAACTTTTTGTTTAAATCATAAGAGTTTTAGATGAATCAGAGATATATATGTGTATGTGTGAACAGATTTTCTCAGAAAATAACATAGTTTTGATTTAATAAGTGATTTTGGCTTACTAATATGAAAGAAAAAAATTGCAGATGGGGTCTACTCTTCTCAGCTTGAGCCTGAATAACTCAGGACAGCCCCTTAACCAAGTGAGTATAATATTGATTTCTGGGATACCCTATGAACCATATATAGTATAATCTCATATTCTTAATCTGCATAAATTTTTCATAGCCCCTTTTGGACATGTAAGATTAATATGTATTTTAATTTTCTGGTGTGTTGGTGATTATTAGATGGGCATGCTGAGAATCAAGCTTGAGGAAGCAAAGAAAGAGAATGAAATCTTGAAGGCTATGCTGAATCAAGTCAATGAACACCTCGCTGTTCTTCAGAATCGCATACTTTTTGAGATGCAGCAGCATCAACCATCTTCATCACCTTGCAATAATAACAATAATCATGACTCGAAGGTAATGATAAGTTTCACTTAGATTTTGTTTTGCACAAGCTTCTTTGATCAACATAGCTCATTCTCCATTTTTAATTATTCAAAATTTTAGCTTAATTGAATGAAAATTAAACAATTAATGTGGCTGGCTTTACTTGGTCAACCACTATATATTCAGTGCCAGCTATAATGCCAGGCCCATGAGGTCTCTATCTTCTAGCTAGCTCCATACCAGGGATTGAAGACAAACAGATAAACAACAACTATATATGACCAAAACAAAGGAAAAAAATATTATTTTTTTGTTGTTCTTGTAACTTTCATGACGTATATACATTTGACAGAAAGATATATATAGAGAGAAGTAGACAGACAAAAATGAAAGTGGAAAAAAAATGTAATTATATCAGGACTAGTCATTGGAAATTAAATAAGATTTTGAGTTGGAGTCACAGATGCTATGTCTTTGAGATCATTAATAATATGAAAAATGGCTGTCATATTGCAATGTGATTAGGAAAAATTCAAAAATCTTGACATTGCAATTGCAGTTTCTGACTTCGAAAATGTTGATGAGTGTTAAACCTTGAAAGCTTGCTCTTTGCACTATTTTCTGTCATATGATTATGAAAACTAATTAAAAAAGTTGCACACTTGATATGAATTCTGAAGGAAAAAATACAAGATTCGGGGAAACCAATGCTGCAGACTCGACAGTTTTTGAATATTGGTGAGTGTTCTTCAGTTTTTGAGGGTAACACAGAAAAAATTGAAAAGAAAATGTTAGGCAGAAACTTCGCATGTGACAAAAACAACGTGGAGGGTGAAATCAACAAAAACATAACATCAAATGAAGCAAAATGCACAGAAGATCAAGCATCTGAGGTTACTTGCAGAAGAGCTAAAGTATCCATAAGAGCACGATCAGATTTTTCTTTGGTACGAATTTCTCTATCTCATTTCGTAATTGTTGTATGGTTTTTGTACAGAACTTAATTTTTATATTAAAAAAAGATTCAACACAAAACAATTGGGAAACACATTGAAGTACATGATCCTTAAACTTTAATTCTCCTAAATTTTTTTGAAAGAGATATCATATGAAGTTGAAGGGTGCAAATTATATTTGTTTTCTTGCTAAATTAGAATATATATATATATATATATATATATATATAGAAATAAATTAAAAAAATAAATTATCATAAAAATATAACAGTTTTATTATGTATGACAATTTTATTATTTCTTTATTATGTTCTAAGTGTAAAGGATTTTGCTTTTATAAAATAGTTCATCTTTGTTGAAGAACTTAAAATTTTATCATATATAACAATTTTTAATTAATTGAAAAAGAAATTTGTTTATCACTGTATTTAAACCTCCTCTTTCAACTCAAAATATGCACTTCTTAATTTTTTTCTTTTGTCATTGTAAATTCAAATAATAATATTAAAGGTTAGAATTCTATAAAAAGGTGAAGTAGAATTTACTTAATTAAGAAGAATGTTATTTAAAACTTTTTTTATTTAAATATTTATTATTAATTGCAATATATTTAAAATATCTCTTTTATTAAAAAAAACCTAAATTGAATGTATATGAAATATATATCATCGAAGACATAAAAAAAAATCAATAACATGTTAAATAATTAAGTATATTAACTAGGCAATAATTAAAAATTCCCAAAAGAAAAATTCCATTTCACATAAAATATTTCTAATTCTGTTAAAATAAAAAAATAATAATATGAAATGTACGAAGAGAAAAGACAAACGTGTAAAGTAAGTAAAATACATAGAAGAGTGTTTTCAGTTTGAATTGCAGACTTTTTAGTTCCTTCTTTTGACTCTAAAGTTTTAATAATTTAATATAAAATAACATATATAAATTAAATAAAAATAAAATTTAATATATATACACATATATAATATATAAGTACTTTTATAGTTCAAATACTTTTATTTAATATTAAATTATATAATAATAAATGCACAAACTATGTCATCATTTTAAATAAATAAGAGCTGTTATTACAAATTCTAATTATACTTTAAATAGATGAAATTTTACATTTAAAATGAAATATTTTCTCTTTTTATTTTATTTTTATAAGATGTGAATGAATTTTGTTCATTATCATGTGTCTCGAGTTCTGTAATAATATCACTGAATCTGGTTGATTTTGAAATTCTAATTCATAATAATTTTATTAGTAAAAGATCGATAAATAAATAAAAATTCAACATAAGTCTCGTATTACTTCGAGTTAAAATAAAAGATATTTTATGTACTTTCTTCTCTTTTTAGTGATACAAAACTCTCTTTTAACAATACAAAACCCTAAAGCATTACAGCTCCAAAAATATATATCTGAAAATTAAGCTTAAGAATATTATTAAGCAACTCCCAATATTCTACTTCCAGTAGTAACTGTAAGTTTTTACAAAAGTTCGAGGTGAATACGTTTATTTCTTGACTTGAGATAATATCTGAAGTAGAAGTGTATTTGAGTAGCGTCGTGATAAAAGGAAACGTGTAATTGAGTGGAATTAATGGTGTGATTATGCATTCAGATAGGAGATGGGTGTCAATGGAGAAAGTACGGACAAAAGACGGCGAAAGGCAACCCTTGTCCCCGAGCCTACTACCGTTGCAGCATGGGCACTGCATGTCCAGTTCGTAAGCAGGTTTCTCTCCATAGATTCACTTTCCTTTTTCATTTCTTCGTTACTATCAACCTATTTCTTGATCACCTTTCTGATATAAAATAGATGAAATTATTTTAAAAAATAGCAGCTTTAATTATTTAAAATATAGTTGCTGGGAATATGTGTTTCGGTCACCACCATTGATTACTCCATTCTTGTGATTCTTCCTCTCATGAAAGTTTCCTCAACAGTTTTCTTACAAGATATGGTGGTAATTTACATTGGCAACAGGTGCAAAGGTGTTTTAAGGATGAGACTGTGCTCATCACAACCTATGAAGGGAACCATAACCATCCACTCCCACCAGCAGCCAGACCTTTGGCAAGCTCAACATCAGCAGCATTGAACATGTTCCTTTCTGGTTCACTCACAAGTTCAGTAGTTAGCACCACTCAATCAAACGCACCCCTCTTCTCTTCATCACTATCTACTATTTCTCCAACTGCAATAGCTACTTTCTCCCACAATGCAACATGTCCCACAGTAACACTGGACTTGACCCAGCCCAGCAACAACAATAACTATCTCCAATTCCAAAGGGCCACCACACAACACCCACTGTTCCCTCTCCCACTTCATGGCCACCCTCATAATTCTCATGAGGGGTTCCACTTGTTTTCCAAGGTTCCCACCTTGTTAACCCCAGACAAAAACCTTGCATTGGTGGATGTTGTTAGTGAGGCTATAACCAAAGACCCTTCTCTCAAGGCAGCTCTTTTTTCAGCCATTTCCTCACTCACTGGAGATCCTCAGAAGAACAGCAATAACCACAGCCAACAAAGTAAGAGTAGCAGTGGTTATGACCCTTGTTCTAAGATGCCTGCAATACCACCTCATCAGCCTTACACTACTGAGTTGATATAGAGTATATATATATATATATATATATATATATATATATATATATATATATATATATATATATATATATAAATATATAGTTGTCAAAAAATAATGAATCAAATATATAGCAAATGTGGCTTGTTTTTCAGCACAAGAAGGTGAGCATGTTATATGTTTTGTGAGAAAGAGAGTGGTAAGTTTTATGAGAAATCTAGGTCACAACCATCCCATAACACTGGCTTTCTTCGTTAGTCGTTACTTTGTAGAATAAATTAATGAACATATTGAAGTTTTGGCCCTTGGTCTTGTACTTAACTATGTGTCTGTGTTAGATGTATATAAGAAAAGGTAAAATCTAAAGGTTGTAATTTCCAACATCAATTTGTAAGGAATGATTTAGTAAGAGGATCGCTAGTGAAATAAAGAAAGAAATAGGAAAAATAGAAGTAGAATGAAAATATGTTATTTACATGGATAGATATGTAAAAAATGAAGTGGAAGAATTCCCTCCATTTGTTCAATTGATGAATAGAAAATATTCAAAGGAAATAAAAAGATGTAAATTTTTAGCATAAAATAATAATTAACTAATGAAAAATGATTTTTTAGTACTAAAAGAAATATAGTTACAATTAATCAACTAATTAATTAGTGTTATATATGATATATGATTAAATTAAATAAACTTCATAGTTAGTACATATTATAATTCAAAATTTATTGTAAATAATTAATTATAAAAAAAATATCAACAAGATTTTTGGTGGGGCTTCCTGAAAAAAAAAAATGACGGTTGGCTTTTAGTTTCATTTAGATACACCGTCATTCCTTTCTAACCCTTTTGGATTTTATATATGTTTGGTGGTAAGTGATGAAGTAATTAGTTTTCTTTTCTCCGTCTCTCTTCTAATCGTTCGTTATGAGAATTTGTGTGACAGAATTTTTCCATAAACTTATAAGAAGCATTCTCAAGGTTCTCTAACTTTATGACAGTTTATTTTGAATTTCTTATATTTATCAACACTACGATGAGACTCAATTGTAAGTGGCTTAGAAATTTGAATTTCTTATGAACCATTTTACCTTGAAAAATTCGTAAGGTCGACGTATATCATTACTGATAGTCTGATTCTAGTGGCAAATGGAAAGTCCACACAAAGTCCCTATTTCAAAAGTAAACTATTCTTTTACAAATTTGCTATTCAGGTTATGTCCATGATATGTTTGATAAAAGTTCTGATAAAACATTTATATTTATTTTGCCTTAGCATTTAGTCAAAGATTTTCATGTTGAAGTTCTGTTTCAGTGTCTCCTTTCTCTTATAAAGGGATGTAACTGTATATTTGAGTGCAGATGTTTTTCTTGCGAAATTAGAATCCCGATTCAGTGATTACTTCATACATAATTTAAACAAAAAATGTTCTCAGGACAATTGATTTGTGATGATGTAAAGAGGGGTTCAGTTCAGGGTACTGTTGTAATTGTTTTTGTAAGAGGAAGGAATTTTTTTTTTCTCACATTGGATTTTATTACAATCTCTTTTTCACTCACGAAAATGTAAAAGTTGTTTCCTTCTCTCTTCTTTTATGTCTTACTATAAGAGTGTTTTGACATTTTTATAAGGATGTAAAGTACTGTTAAATAAATGCATAGTTAATTAAACATTTCTTGTTTGAAACTTTTGCTCCCTTGTATCTTTTTTTTTGTTTTTAATTTAACCCTTGTGACAAATATCACAAATCTTATTCATAACATATTCTAATCACCATTTATATGAGAGATCCTGAGACAAACTCTCAAGGACTGCAATTATTATTTGCCATTTTTTTAATTCAAAAAGAATTTGGCATAGTAATATCACCAAACTATAACTATGCAGCTTCTGCAAATCCTATACGGAGATTGCCATAGTCAAATACTGTATGATATGCCGCCAAGAATATATTTCCAAGAACCCTGCAAACATGCCACTATGTCAAACACAATATAAGATATAGGGGGAAAAGAGAGAACCAAGTACCTGGCTCATTCCTGATGAGTAGCATACACGGTTTACATTTTATCAAAGAAAGACATAAACATGACTCGAATAAATTACCAGAGGGGACCCTGTGGAGGAGGCACATCTATAGCTACAAAACCACCATAGCAGACAGTAGAACAGCCTTCTTCAAATCGAAGTATATACTGAGGACAAAGGAGAGATTAAACGTTTGAAATAGTATGAAATGGGAACAAACTATGGATTGCATCATTTAGTACCAGCTTTACTATGTTTATTTGTCAAATCATCTTAATGGAAAAGGGTATAAGCAAATATGAGAAATTGGAGAGAGCCAAATAAAATTTTGGTAGGTATCAGATATAAATACACTATGCATGATCACTTTTATAGTGCCAAGGCAGTGATGTGTAAAAGCAACACAGAATTCATGTTAAACAACAGACCTGTTCTGGAGAGAGAGAAAATGATTTGTTTCCAATCGTGAATGTGATGTCTGGCATGGACCCAATATTATTACAGTTTATAAATGACTGTCCCGGGGGATTTGGGAGCTTCTCACACAGCTTTTACACAAGGAAATTGACACAAAGAAAAAGCTTGTGAGTGATTAATTGGAGACATATGTGAGGCATATCTAAACACTTAAGTTTGTAAACAACTACCTCATCCACGTATTTAAATACTTTTTCCTTTACATTGCTTTGCTTAATCTGAACTTGGATCCAAAGGACAATCATATTGCAAAAGGAACAAAAGGGGCTCTCACTTATTGGTGATCCATTCTGACTTTCATTATGCACCACTGTTTCAATAACATCACTGCAGGTTAAAGTTAGACTTATGTTAAGAGAACTGGAACAAAGGAATGTGTCTCTAAAGACTCAAGATTAGGAAAATGTAAAAAGTGTACTCCATTGTGTTAAATCCATTATTTGAACAGAGTCCAATGTCACTGCATAGAATGTCAGGATTTAACTGCAGATATGAGACATGAGAAAGTAGGTAAAGTATGGTTAAAATTAAAATAGCTGTAGTCTGTAGATAATCACGAGTTAGGTGTAAAATTACAAAAGCAACGAACCCCAGCAATCAAGGATTCCCATATTGAATCCCCATAGTTATGGAGAATGCTTTTACACTCAAAACTGACATATCCTTCTGCTCCAATGGCATGGTTAATTTGAGTCACAACACTCTGCAAACAAAAACTAGAAAGTAAAACCCCCCCGAAGAGAAAGTCAACAAAGAGATAACGTATGATATCATACAGTTGGACCAGCAATTAGAGATGTCCCTGAGTCTACAATTGCAGCACAGCCACCCTCACACAACCCTGTAAATATTTTACATGATTTTTTTAATGTGAGGTCAAAGGTAATTATGAAAAGTACCAAGCAGAGAAAATATGGAAATAATGCATGACTGCAGTAAAAAGGTTAACGCTGTGAAAAATGAACCAAAGGGACCAATTTAATTGAAAAGCAAACAGTTGATACACAACACCTTTTACTTCCATCAAATGGCTGTGGAAATTTAAATGTCATTTCTGGAAAATATACCAATTCGTGGCCTTTTATTATAATGCTAGTCTAGCAACTTTAATCAATTCTTACATAGTATTCAGTCATAGCTAAAAGAAACAATGAAAAACGAGGCATATTTAAGCATCATGAGGAAAAGAAATGTGAGAGGACCTGTTGAGTTATCTGCAAGTAGAACATTTCCCACATCAATCTGCAGTTGCACACTCCAAAAGTCAATGATGACATGGTTGATGATAATTGCTATGGATGAAGTTCTAAATATGCTATACCTGCCAATAACCCTTTTGAGAGAGTGGAACATATGTGTGATCACCTCTAAAATGCCTATAGTCAATACCACCAAAGACAAGCTCACCCCCCATTTCTTCTGTTGGATCTTGACTTAGCCAAAGAGAGAAAATTTTGTGGCATATATGCCCTTGTTCTATCATATTATACCTGCTTGCACAAAACTTATCATTGCATCTGAAGCAAAAAAAAATTTAGAAAAAAGGGAACTTTGATTATCCTTCTACCCTGTTACCATAAAAATATAAGCACACCATTCTTCAACATTTATTCAAATTTAAAATGGAGAAAAGAAACATCGATAAAGAGAGAAATGAATTAATAAAGTTCTTGTGTGTACCACACTGGTGTGACTTTTCCAATTGAAGCATCCTGGAATCCGAGTCCAAGTATGCCATCAAATGGAAGAGCTGCAAGCGCCAAAGATCCCTCCCTTGTAATCTCCGCAAATTCCTGGACGATGGGAAGTAGCAAACCATCAGCAAAACCAAAGCAGCATGATGTGACTGAAAACTAACAGTGGTCAAAATACTGACTTGATCTTTGATGATGATATCCCCAACTTGTACATTATCTTGGCTGAAGAATCCATGTATAGATCCTTGGCCATAAGGGATTTGGCAAGGTATTCCTGCATATTTTCCCAAATGATACTTTAAGTATGTTCATTGAAACAACATATCTGTTTCTGCATATAAAAATAAACGAAGGCATCTAAAAAGAAAGCAATAAATTTATGTTTTCAATTATATGCCATGATAATCCAAAGTTACCAATTTCGGTATATGTGCTAGATATCTTCGACCTATACTTGGAATGAAAATAGCAAGCGATCTGCATATGCCATGTGTGTTTTTAAAACATGTTCATTTTAAAAAAAAAAACACAAATGAGTAACCACTTGCATCAAAATCAGATAATGGGTAACTTACAGAGAAGATGCATTTGGAAGATGGAACCCAAAGATTTGAGCTCCCAGTGTCAAACACAACATTGAAGTATTGTGGGGGTGAACCAATACTAATCTCACCAAAAAATTGTGCATCAAGATAATTCTTAAGATATATTATATCTTCATCACAACAATTTTTTTTAGCACCCCCTAAATCGATAGGATGAACGGATTCTTTGATTCTTGCATCTTTAAGACTCTGAACGTCTAATTTCCTCCTTTTTAGACCAACCCTCATCAACCCATCATCAGAAGTTGAAATAGTCAACGATCCAAACCAAGCCCAAACACACATAATAACCAGCAGACACTTGAAACCCATTCTTACAACTCATCTGGTTCAACAAGTTCAAAAAACTTAAGAGAAGCAAAGTATAAAAGCAATATATTAATTACAACAATCACACAATCTCTGCCGTTTCCAGTTCTGCTAACAAATTCAATAGTTTGACTAAAAGTAAACAGAAGAATGTTCAAAAGCCTTCGAGTTCATTTAAATGCCAATCATATATGAAGCAAAGACATTTTTAAAATAAAGCAGAAATGGAAAAGTATGATAATATCATTTCCATTAGTATCAGAAGCAAAACACAAGAATTTAAAGGTTCACAGGCTGAAGTAAAGGAAATTCGAAGTTTAAAATAATAGTAACAGTAAACTTAAAAATTTCAAACCTGATGCAAAGTATAGGCCTACACAATAAAAGGGAGTAACATGCCTTTGGTATAAAGAACTAAACAATCATGCGGGTCTTGCAATTTTATACACCTTATAGCAACTGGGTATGAAGCTTGAACAATTTACGACTTCCCGTTTCCCTCAAAATTAAAGTTTACTTATTAATTTTCTGTTTAAGTTGTTTTTTATGCTGAAAAGGAACAATTCAACCTTACATGGAAATCACAGCGCAGTTTCGCTTTGGATAATGCTATTTCCCGCACGGTAACAAGTGTGGAAGTAGCTTCAGCAGTTTTCAGCATACGATGCATCAATCTTCTTGGTATATTCCCAGAATCCATAGGTCACTGGAGTTGGTACTGATTTTAATGACACCGACAGGTGTTGGTCGTGTAAATTTCAGAGCCTCACGCCAATATTTTTGTAATATACAAATTCTACAACCAGTAAAGCATGGACATTTTTAATAAGAAGCACTTCTATTATAAAAGTAATATAAAAATTAATATTAATATTATTATTATTATTAATAATAATATCATTATTATCTATTTCAATACAAGCTGATTCTCCTATGTTAACTCTTTTATATAATTGGAGAGAAAAAAATATTATGATTTATATTATGAGAGATAATTTAAGAAAAGAAATTATTATGATTTATATATTTTAAAAATAAAAAGAATAAAAAAAATATGATATGATATAATAAATAAAACATGGATATATTTAAAGAGTAGAAAAAAAAAATTAAAAACATATATTTTAAAAAAATTAATAATATAAAAATGTGGACAAACATACCTGCAAACGAATGTGTTTCCATTTGTCAATAGTTCTTATCACATAATTAATGTTGAACATTTTTTATGAATAACTTATTCCACGATTTAGGATTTATCACCAATTCTGATACGCGAGCTAATGATACAAATCTTCAACTCAAAAATTTAAGATAGGTTATTGATTTTTGTTATTAAACTTTCCTATTTCTTCATTACCGAACAGTTAGAGAGAAGACGGAGGGTCTATCTTTGGGTGGAGGAAACTATGTTTAATGGATATATGTGCTCACTGTAAATGATTTTATACTATCAAGCGATTAGAATCAGTTTTGTTGGTTGTTATCAAAGTTAACAAAGTTATCATACATCGTAACTTGTGTCTGGATGATCATGTAAAATACTTTACATTGTAAGTGCATATAACATATTCTTTTTTCTCAAAAACAACTGAAGCTCAATGACTATGAAGATTTTATCCATAGAACAAGACGAGGGAAGCAGCTAGTTTGTAACAATTGAACTGTAACAGACTAGCCACTGGACTTCCTCAACCACCCTATGGAAAGTTCTTTCTTCAGAATCTCTTCATGTTTCTTCTTATTTCTTCTGAATGGTCAATAGTGTTGAACATGGGCGATAAGGAAAAGAAAGCATAAAATATCAATGGCCTCTCAAGATGAGGCTATGCCAGCCAAAAGTTCTCGGGACCCTGCTAAGTGTCCTGGTACGTGTTGCCTTATCTCTTCAAAAGCACACAAAGTTTCTGCATCCAGACCTCCAGCAAACTACAAACATACCAGAATATGTGAATCAGCCTCATAAATGGTGAAAATCAATGATCATTAGTAAGTTTGCAGTGCATGAAACAGAAACCTAGTAGTACTAAAAAGCCGACTCTTTATTGACATGTTATTCGTTCTCATGTAGGGCTTCAATTTATGATCATGCGGCCTAATGACCCTTTACCCATTTGCTAATAACTGACACATTTGTTGGGAAATTAATATTGATGACTAGAAGATATGCAGACACTAAGATATACCTGATGAGCTCTATATGCAAAATGCATTCCCTGAAGGAGAAGGGATTCTTGACTGGATTGTCTGTCTGAGTTTCGAGCAGATCCAAGCTCCATTGTCACTCTTTTCATGTACATCTTGACCAGAATCATAGAAGCCTTCTTTATCTGCAGACATGGCATATTTATTATTCATCCAATCAAATTTTACAACTGAAAATTGGAAATTTCATTATCAACTCTCAGAAGATACGTAATGTATGTGGTAGCATTAAGTAACCAATCATTACCATAGATTTGGATTAATACATACTAAGCCGAAGCATGTTCTTCATTCAATCAGTTTTGTTGTTTCGTTTCATATTCATTGAGTAAAAGAAACACTGAAAGTAAAGCAACATATGGTAGAGACCAGGAGTAAATGCAAGGAATTTCTGCATATCTATGGCTCACACAATTCTTTTCATGCCGACTAATTTGAACAATTGCCAATATCATTCAAGCATAACATCTAATTCTTATTAGAAAGACAGGATTTATCAAGTGTCATTATTGTTGTCACAATCACAAAGAAAACATAAATAGGATACCTTGGCTGTGATTCCTGAGTCAAGCATCCAAGCGGTTGGAATTTTGTATTCTTGATATGAGCGCATTACAGAATTTCTCAACTTGATTAGCCTCTGTATGCTGCACTCAGACCTATGAGAGAAGAGGACAGTGTCAGTACCCCACAAACTACAAACCTGGCATATTTAAAATGAGGAAGTAGACTATGCACTCACAGTATAAATTTTACACTATCATCTAATTACAAATTATCATATATGGTATGTTTGTTGACTTTTATGTTATCTACTTCAAAAGTAAAAGTCATATATCTGGTGATTTTTTATTGGTTCACAAAGTAAAACTGTTTACACTATCAGTGCATAACCAATAAACTCTTTAAACTGAGTAACTAAATACATTATATGGATATTTTCTTTACTTGTCTAATAGGCTGGCCATCTTTCTCAAGGAAGCTCCACATGGAATTTCTGGGTCATCTTTGAAGGATGAAATCTCTTGTTCTAGCAATTTGAGTTCACGATACTCGACTGCAGCTTCACGCATGGTATCAGCTTTTCTCTCGGGCCAATTAAAATGCTTCAAGACTGCACGCTCATCAGCCTGTGGAAAACAGAAAATGTAGCCAATAAGAAACCAACAGCAACTTGCTATTAGCATACTTTCAGTTTTGGTTGTACTATGTACTACTGGATAACAATATTGCTATACAAAACATAATTGTTTTTTGGTGATCATGTCTCATTTACTTTAAAATTCTTTAGATGTATATTGTCAGACTACAAAATCAAGTAGCTCATGCTGTTCACTTAACCAGCTTTCCTTATCTAGCAGGGTTAAACTAAATATTTAAACAAAAACAGGACAGTATGATAGAGAAAATATCATAAGTAATGTATGGCATTCGATGAAAAATCAGCAAGAAATGGTTTCATTCTGAATTAAATAATGTTAAACTTTAGGCAACAGCAGTAAAATTTTCATAGTTTAGAAACATGATGTACACCCTTTTCACACCATTTTAAAACAATAAATTTATTATGGAATAAAACTATATATGGCATACCAAAATGGAAACTTGTATGTGATGTGTCATAGTCTTAAATGACAAAATGACAATGAATTAACACAAATTAGCTGCCTAACTGGTAGAGAATAATTGGTCCAATAGATTAATAATTTTCTACACACTCACCAATGATGAGAGTTCACCATCAAGCCAATTAACAAAATTTAAGACATCTTCAATGTCCGTGTAGGCCGCTTCTACCACCTTTTTAATAAGGTCATTGATGAAATTTCCTTTTGTTTTAATGTCTGCCCTTATCTGGAAAGCATAATCAGTCACTGATGCTGTATAAGTAATTTGAAAAAGACCAAAAATGTATAGCCACCAATTCAATTTGAAAACGTAATGCTTACTGCTAAGAGATGAGCAGAACGGTTTTGAATTTCTCCAACGATGCTGCTATGTACATTTACAGCAACTGGTTTATTCTGTTTAACCGATCCTGTTGCGTTTTCCATCCCTTCTTGATTCTTTAATGAGTGAAATAATTTCACAAATGCTGGGGCCCTTTGGGTGTTACTCACTTTTGCTACAGGCCTAGAAGGGATTGATGGTGGCGCCGGTGGTGGAGGTGGTGGAGGCGGTGGCAGGCATGCTTTTAGTGTAGGTTTTCTTCCTATCCTTGTAGTTGTAGCTTCAGGAATGGTAGGAATTGCTGTTGGTGCTGCAGTTGATGCTTTAACAAAGCATCCATCAGTAATAGCTTCCTTTTTCACTATGGACCTTTCTAACTTGTCAGCAATGAGTTTCTGAATGTGTTTAAACTTTGGGCTCTGATGTTCTCCATTTGGCTCCTTCATCTAAAATAAAAATCCCTCATTTTCAAAGCAGCAATAGCTTATACATAACTTTTATCCCCAAAATAGATATATGGTCTCATTTTTACATCATTATAGAAAATAACAGTAAAAAATCCAATCAAACTGCAGTTAATTATCCAAGTAAATGGACTAACCATACTAGAAAATATGAACAGTAAAAGGAAACAACAATTGAAGAACAGAAGCAGGATACATTCCAAAAGTCCAATTATTTTTTCCCTTAAGCATTTGATAACAAATAACAACCCCATTTACATTTGAACTCTCACCTTTTCACTTCCACTGAAAGATACCACCTTGGATTCAGCAGCAGCAAGATCCTCAGTGAGTTTTCTGTTGTCAGACTCCAGCTCCACATTCAAGCTCTTAACTTTTTCCAACTCAGCCTTCAAAGCCAGCACTTCAGACTGCAGATTCTTGATCAAACTCTCGCTCACCTCAAGCTTCTCCGTCAATTCCTTCTTACTCTTACCATCATGGTCCTCCTTATCCCTCTTCAAAGCAAAATTTCCAACCGCACTCCTTGGCCTAGCAAACAGTTCCACAACATGAGGCCTCACAACACGAGACACAACCTTAGCCTCTTCAGCTTCTCTACCCCTTTGGGTTCCCATAACCTCCTCATTGGGTTTGGCCTTGTTCAGCAGAAGACCCCTTTTGATCCTTGAATTGTGCTTCAACTCTGGAGTAACAGACTTGGCTCTCCTTGATGGCGTTGACACCACCCCATTGACAACCTCTGGTGGAGTCTTTGGAGGCTCTCTGTACTTGGAAGGAAGTCTTAACCGTGATGGAGTTAAGCTGCTCTGAAGCTTGATCACATTTTTTGTTGCTGTTGGTGGTGGTGGTTGTGGTGGTGATGGTGGAGGTGGTGATGCCGGTGATCCCTGTTTCATGGCTCTTGTTCTGAAAATGGAGTCTCAAAGAGAGAGAATAGCTCAAAGAATGATAAAAGGAAAAATAGAGAACAAGAAATAAAAAACAAATATTTCTTGTGTCAGTGGGATGGTGGTATTTTTGTGAGTGTCAATAATACAAGTGGTGGTTGAAGCAGGAACATGCCACCAACAAAAGACAGAGGATTTATGCAACACCTTTCAGTGTGGAAGATGAGACACAACACAATCAGTGATATGGGTGGGCTATTGATGATGAACAGTTACACCAATTCTTTGAACCTCAGTGACTAACACAATATGTGTGTAATAAAGAGCTTTGGTGATCCTTTATTCTTCCTTATTCTCAATTAAATTGCACATTACAATGATAGCAATTAAATTCTTCATCAATTGTTTGACATGGAATGGAAAAGCTCAAAAGCTTGGTGCTTAACTTGGCCACCCCAAAAGAAAGTGACCCACATCCAAAGGGTGAGGACACTATGACTCTAATGGTACGGTTAGATTCTCATATAAAAAGGGACAGAAATTCCATTGATTCTTTGTCTTTGGCTAGGCAGAGTCTAGTCCTAGTTCTTCCACTTTGGATGGAATATATGCTACTCTTCAATGCCTAGGCCTAGTTTTCCTCAATAGGTACTTACCTATATCTGCAACAATGCTCCAATATCAGAATATAAATACTTAATCAAATATCAGATTATTAACAGATTATCTTATACATTTATGAACCCATTTGTTTTAAAATTGAATAAAAGAAAATTTTCATTGCTAAACAAATTTAAGATATGTGTTATTGTGCACTAAAACCTATATTAATAATTCTACATACGGACAATAACATGCATGTGTTGATGACAATGTTGTCACAAAATGAATAAACCGTTATTATCAAATAAAAAGAAGGACTAAACCATTTTTGGGTCCCAAAAAAGAGTTAGTGTTTTTAGCGCAAATGGGTGAAAGATTTAAAATTTTGGCCTTCTACATGCCATAGAGTGACTCCATAGAAGAATTTGTCGTGTACCTTTACTATAAGAGACAGTGTCAACATCCTTAATTCAATGTGCCAAAAAAGTTGAAGACATGAAACTCCTCATTGTTTAGTAAAGTACAATAGTACCATTGTACACTAAATTCTATTCCCACAAAACAAATTATATAGAGAGACACTCGTGTCTTCTAAGGTGAAGTTACTTACTAGTCGTTGGGTGTTATTTATTTTCTGCATAAAACTGTATTCTAAAGGGTAGATTTGGTTGTCGAGTTTTCTGAAGTGGGTGGAACTTAAAAAAGAGTATTCTTGATTTCAACAAGTACATGTTTGGTGGCATATTCTCTTTCATTGTAGCTTAAATTACAAGTATTAGCAGGCTCATTGGTTCATTGATCAATAATGCGTTTCCAATTGACTTAACAACTTAAGCACTAAACCACCTTTTTTCTCTAACCATGTGGGTAAACAATGGTTTGATTTTGGGTGATGGGAACAAAATGTCACTTGCAAGCATGGAAACAATCCTTCAAGGATATGGATGGATTCCTCTGCCATAAATGTCAAAATCAAACTCATAGAGGTCACACTCTTTACCTTGTCTTCCACGGGTAATTACAAAGTCTTCAGATTAGGGACCACGGTTTCAGAAAAAATATCATTACCAAGGAACTAAAGATAATGAAAGTAAAAGGTAAGACATTACGAAATTTGTTGCACTCCAAGCAAAATTTTACACGTATTTTGGTAGGTTGGTTTAATGTTTTGTGGATCCATAAAAGAATAATGGATAAAACTTTCCTTGATAAAAGAACAATGCCGTCAGATCCTCCACTCAAGAGAGCAATGAAATAGACATAAAAATCCTGCACTAAAGAAGTAATGAGATCTCTCAACATTGGACACTAAAAGACAAAAAAGTCTGGGTGGGTATCATGAGCTTTAGCCATCAATTCTTTACTTGATGCCCTAAAAGCAACAAAAATATATAGTAATCTCCTTTCCACTCTCAACAACAAAGATTCCTCATCAAGAATTAACTTCTGCGAGATTGTTTTATTGTTATATATTGAAAAGTCGAACACTAAAATCTTAATGGAACCAAACAAGTAAGTGTAAGAGTTAGAAGGAATGGATCAATAATTTAAAAACTAAAACATTGTTGAATGCATTATTTATGGCAGAGTGTCTCACAAATGTGAAGTGAAATTTGATTTGTTCAATATTTTAGCAGATGAGGATTGATTGCTGACATGAAAATTGGTCAAAGCTTCATGTGAATGAATAATGCAAGAATTTTCTGATCAAACATTTAATTACTGAAAAAGGTACCATGTGAAATCTGAATAAACAACATTACATCAATACATCCATATTGCAGGGCCATTGCATGCTACCCACTGTTCAGAGCATGCTTCTGGTGACACCTCTTCCACAAAATAACATTATTAGAGTATTTTTAATAAAAAAAAACAATATATATAATTTTTATAAATAAAATTAATATTTTAATCTAAAGTTTTAAAACATAATTTAATTTTTATATAAATAACTTTTTTTTCATTTTAGAAAACTTATATATAATTGTAGTAATAATAATGTTGTATTTTAATTGAGTTTTATATTGATAAGAATGTTTATAATAAAAATATTTTATTAAAATATTCACTGGATACGCATTATTTTCTGTTATTAAATATAAAAGTATTTTATTATTTGAAATTAGTTAATTTTACTTATTACTAATTAAAAAAGGAATATTTTTTAGTTTTCAGTATTTAAATTATTTTTTAACAACTATCAGAGTTATTAAAAATTATGATCAATTTAATAAATATATATATGGATATTCATAAATCCAGTGGGCCACTATACTATTGTAAAAGCCCACTTGAGGTGATTTCTTTTCATTATAGTTTTGCAAAATAATGTGTAACAAATATGCAATATGTTTTGTACAAAAGATTTCAATTAATTAATTAATTTCTTTAGGTTAATATATAATTTTACATATTGTTTTTAATTTGTGCAATGTAAAAATAGTTTTGTGACAAAAAATTGCTCACTGTCGCAAAATCAAAGAATATATGTGAAGAAAATAAAGTAATTGTATTTCATAGTGAAAATTCTGCCTGCTATGAACAAATGTTTGTCATGCCTTATAATGTGTTGGTTCATAATTTCAAAATGCTTTTCTTATAATCTCAACTTTTGGCATTTTTGCTGTTTACTGTGAAGAGAAAAGAAAAATATTTTGTTTTTTTTTTTTCTTCTTGAAACTAAATAGAGAACACATATATTCCCCACTGAGGAAAATTTCAGCTTGCAGCAATTTTCTGTGTTTGATCAGAAGGGTCAGAATAAACTTGCATCATTAAAGACACAGAGATGCTTATAAATAACTGACGAAATACCTGTTTTCTTGAAATTATATTTCAGAGATAGGTTGCAGTTTTTGAATATCAACTCTTGAAGCAAGCCTTCTCAAGTTCTGACATCTAAAACTCCTTTGATATCGTCATCATCATCTTCATCTAGCCATGCAAATGGACATAAATATACATCAATTTCATGCAGGAATTGTTTAGCTACATTAGATTAAGGCTAAACTTTATAGAAGTTGAGTATATGAGTGATACAAACATGCCCAGATGGAAAAAAGGTTAGTAGAAAGGCACCTTGAAGCTTTTTGCATTTCAACTCCAACCAATGAAACCTGGAAGTGTAATTTTATGTTTGTTTGTTTGCTTGAATTGGTGAGAAAAGTTGGATGGAGAGAAAGACAATGTGGGTGAAGGAGTGTTGGAGGGTTGATAGGTGATTCCCTTTGAAGGAATACTTGAAAAACACAGGAAAATTTTCCAATTTATTTCTGGTTGGTTGTGACTTCACATCACACAACAAGGTGCTATTTGTTACTGTGGTTGTGAGTTAAGAAATGTCATTATATCTGTTCGATCAATGCCTTGTGTTTTGCAATTTTGCACCTGAATTACGTGCCTAACATTTCATGTCTGTTGCATATATAAAGAGGTGTGAACAGAAACTTCATCCTCTCTCTGGTGGGTACCAGGGTTTAGTTAAAAGTATCTTAAGATGGGAGACAGCACCATGTCTTCATCACATTGATTTTACTGTCTTAACCAAACTACATTTTACTCCATTGTCAGAAAATGAATTATGACAAGAAACAGGTAAATAAAAATATAAAAGATAAAAAATTGTTTTCCATGCTGTCGTACACTTCAAGCGTGTCCGGGAACAAAAATCCCGTTTTCAACCACTTACTCCTCTCACTTCGCTGTCCCCCGCCGGAACCACCTCACTCCGACGGCGATGTTCGGGGCAAAGTCCTTCTTGAACTTCTCCGAACACCTTGCGTCCCCAATTAGCTGCTATAGAACGGAGTCACTTTTTACGGCTTCTTCAATGTTGCGGAACCCGCGGGAAAAGACGCTTCTACTCCATGTCTCTGTTCCGTTGACGCTAACCACGTCGATGAAGGTGGCGTTTTCTCCGTCAATTCTTCCAGCGATTGTGACGTGGATACCTCGGGGAGAGCACCTAGGGCAACTTGAGCGTTGAGGTGGAATGTCTCAAGGCTTTTACCGTTACCGTTAAGTTGTTTCCGTTTTGTGTGTGCTTTGCTTTCGTGTTCATGTGGTGTGGTTTTGTGCTCTCTGTTGCACGCTGATGGATTCTTCTTCTCGTCTTTGGGTAAATGCTCGCAACTTTTTCCGTTAATGTTTTTGATAAAATACTGTGACAATTTTATTGTTTCTGCTTTGTGTGTGCTTTGGTTTTGTGCTTGTGTGGTGCCATTTTGTGTTGTTCTGTTGGTGGTTTGTTGGAGTTGTGTGAATATACGTGTTTGTGTTGTGTTGTGTTGTGTTGCGTTGCAGTGATTGGTTCTTCTTCTCTTCTTTTTCCTCTGTTTGGTTCATCGGGAAAAAGATGAAAGAAGAGGGAGAATTTTGAAATTTTAATTAATGAGAAAATAGAAAGGAAGAAAAAAATTGAATAATTGTTTGGAAAAGTCAACTTTCTCATTTTGTTTTTTCTTTCACTTTCTTTTTAATTGAACAAATGAAGATGATCGTTTCATCTGAAGAGGAGGTGGGGTTTTCAAGTTTGAGCCGTTGTTCTGACTTTGCTCATTAATGTATTGAGTAGAACTGGCTTGTATGGATTTGATTTGTTTTGTCAGAAGATGGTGAAGTTGTCTCTAACAATTTTCTTTGGTTGATACTTGCCACCAAATATGGGTCTCTTTTCTTTTTGTTGGCATTTGTGCTTAGTTGATTGAAACTTTTGAATTTGGCAAATGCTATTAAGCCTTCTGGAAACATGGTAAGAATTTAAAAGTGAAAATATTAAATGAATACGGAAGCTTTTTAAGTTGCCACTTTTAATGCTGAACTTTGTTTGAGTAAAATTCTAAATTCTCTTACAATACCTCTACTTGCTTTGTATGGTAAGTATTGATAATTTTTATGATTATAAAACTAAGTGCATTTACTATTTCAGTTAATATTTTCCTTATAACATTTAAGGAAGATAAATAACATTACTCTTTCATTAAATGCTTTGCCTTTTTCATTATTTCTTAACAAGTGCTCCTGGGGAACTCATTAGCAGGATCTTTTGTTTAAAATTATGAGCTACGGATTTTTTGGATTAGATAAAGCAGTAGACTCCTCTATCCTAGAAGTATGCCAACTCACTCTGTCAAAATGTTTTGTTGATGTGATAAGCCCATTCATGAGTTAGTCCAGAGGAAAGAAGTATTGATGCTTCAAAACAGTAACAGTAATCATATCCTTATCATATCTATGTTGACACTTCACAGATACTTCAACTACTCCTAGTTACATTTAACAATTATTATAATTTTAGTTTTTAAACATTTATACTAAAACAGATGAGAGAAGATTAGAATAATTACATAAATAATAGCATTTTATCATATCTGTAATGACTTCTAAATTAATGGTTCTCTCTTGTCTTTTGATAACTTTGTATGTTGTATAGAAGCTAAGTCATGTCCTATGTTTTATAGAAACTTCCCTATCTGTGTGCTTGTCATATTGATTGTGTCCTCTGTCATATCTAAGCCTGGGCTTTATTAGAAGCATGTTACTGGGCTTGGTTTTGGGCCCATTCTATTGGGGCCATGAGGTAGTTCAAAACAAGTATTTCAAGGGGTAAAATTTCCTCTCCCTTATATGTAGTACTTTCTGTCTAAACAATGAAGTGATATATGGTTTTGTGGAGGAAGCCTTGGTTAGGTCTTCTACAATTTTGCGAATCTTCAACAAGGTTTTAATATCTAGTAATGGCTTTAAGAGGTATGTATGATTTGCAATAAACTGCTCTCTTTCTGATTTTTTAGATATGTGCTATGTTTGACAGTTTATAGTGGAATAGATGGGAAGTAGGGTATGAAAGAGGACAAAAGAGGCACTTTTGTTTGAATGTTAAAGTAAGAAAAGGATGGGAGTTCTCTTTCCTTTGTTTCAGAGTTAAAATGAATGGAAGGGAAATTATTTCCCTTATTTAATTATAACCCTTGCTTTTCTAGCAGAGAGAAAGCAAGGAAGGAGATGAAACAATCATTTCCCCTTGTTTGAGTGTTGCAGTTAAACTAAGGGTAGATAATTTGAAGGGAAAAGCTAGACAATTTTGATAAGGCAGCCAGCCAAAGGGGTCCAAGTTCAAATTTTTCCACCCTTGCAAAAATTGCATATAGAATTAGTAATTTTTTCTTGAAAACATTTGCACTGGAGGAAGCCACAGAGCCCTTGGCTGTTTCCCTTTTGTAATTTAGGGTAAATACAGTCTATTACTTAACTCTTTACTTTTTTTAATCAGTTAACATCCTAAAATTTTGTTTCAAGTATAAAATGAGTTCCACCTAAGTTTGGTTTTAAGTATCTTGTGGTTAAGTTCTACTTGATTTAACTAAAGTAACATTTTCACTAAAACCAAACTTCATTAGGGTAAGTTGAGAAATGGATATAACTCATGAAGGTAAATGTATTTTTATGTGCAATTTCATGCTTATGCCCTCTATTTGGAGGTGGAAGAATATCAGGGACTCCCCCTTCCTTTTCGCCCTTAAAATTGAGTTATGGATATATTAATTTTGATATAACTAACAATTTTTCCCATATATTACTGATCTTAATTACAATTATTTATCTTTTGTGTCAAATATCCAACATCATTATATTGGTTATGGTTGAAAAATCATTGTTTCCCTTGTAGGAATTGATGGACATGCTGCATTTGAAGTTTCAATTGAGCAGGTGGTCAGAACAGAGGCTAGGGAAGCTGAAGATTTATTGAAAAAATTGGATATTATGGTGTGTTATACCTACTAGATTAATGTTTTTGGAGTCTCAAAGTAAATAGTCATATAGTCAATTACACATACCTTCCCTTAGGCAGTTTATGAGCTATGCAAATTGCAAACAACACATTATCCAGTTTCAAACATTGTGTTGATTTTTTTTGTGTCATGCACAGTATCCAGTTTCAACAAAATGCAGGGCTTAGTTTAACATAAAACCAGAGGGTTGTTGTCATAGGTTTCACAAACTTGAGATGTAATTTACTAATTATTTAATTGCATACATTGACTGTGTAAAGGTTACACGATGTGCAATCATGGATTTCCAAATAATTGAAAATTGTTTCTTTGTTGTAATTACATTAAAAGTCATGTCTAGGAGGATTTCTTTTTGGTTGATAGCACAAAAATCTTTATACTGATAGTATACCAAAATTAAACTCCCTACTTATGGGATTAGTTTTATATTTGCTTCCTCTTCCATGACCTGTAATGTTTGTCCCTTGATATCCTTCTATTAGTCCGACATCAGGTATTTAAGGAAAATGGTATATGATTTTTGGGTGTTCTATAAGATATTGTTTAATTGGCCATCTAAAAGGACTAATGATATTGATATGTAGGACTAAAAACATGATTCAATGATTTTTTTTAGTTTAGTTTTTCTTATGTCAGTTAAGCCATTTTAGTTCTATACATATGCCACAGCAGGTCCTTTTTAAATTACCAACCGTAAGATGTTATGCCACATGAAAATCTTGTGTAATTGAATTAGTTTATTTGTTTAATTGGAAAAATTAGGGGACTTGATTGGAACAAAAGAATATTGAGGGACTAAAACCACTCAATGGTACAGTAACCTTGTTCCCAAAGGGGTGCCAGATTTGATGAAGTTATATGTAGTGGGATTTTTTAGCAGGAAATTAGTTGGTTATGTCATTTTGCTATTTAAACCTTTGATTTTCTACCTTTTCAATTAATGTACTGGGTAAAAGTTTTCTAATATTTTTATTTTACCTCAATATATGGGCCCACTATATATCTTTTACCACGTGTTATTTTCTTCATTTATTGTTGCTGATTACAATGCCTATGTTTTTACCATCACACACTACTCTGTTTGGGTTTTGGCTTGAACATTCATTAATGTACATTAAGTAAATAACATTGTTTAGAGTTCTCATGCAGAGTCCTTCTTTGTCAAGAAATTCAGCTCGAGGGATATTCTGCTCCCGTACCCTGAATCTAAGGTCAATTAGTGCTATTGGATATGACATGGACTATACCTTGGTGCATTATAATGTGAAGGTAATTGTGAAATTATAGGGTCTAGATAATCCAAAAGTACTCTATGTTAATGTTTTTTTAAAATTTGAGTTTAAAGCATAATTCAACTCCACAAAACTAACTTGTAAGAAGAGGACTGCATAAGCATTATAAGAATATTGACCATATCCTCAGTTAAAATTTTATGAACCATTATAATTTAACTACTAAGCTTGCACGTATAACTTTGTAATCTTCACTTGTATTACATGTCATACATACATATAAACAAAAAATTTACAGGTAAACTTTGTAATTTAAGAATTAGGTTATACAGTGTTAGGTAATACAGACTGTGACTGGGGCATCACATGAGTTTTTTAAATGAATGTTCTTTCTTTGGCATTTGTTAATGTACCTGTACACTGGTGCAGTGGTAATTTTATCCAAAGTATCCCAAGTCTACAAGCTCACTTTTTGTGGTGTTTGGAATATATGAGATATTTGGACGAGGGTATCCAACATTCAAGTCAGCAGTATGCTTCTTATTGTAAATAAGGGTAATAAAAATGCCAATGAACAGTATATAAATCTTAACTGATTATATATATATATATATATATATATATATATATACAAATTCCATTGGGCATGGGTCATTTGGCCTTACCTCTAGGTCATGTGTGTTTAAATCCTACATTATTGGGTGATTAGCTCTCTTTGATTAAGCTCCTTAATGCATTATGCTTCTGAATACTGGGGCTGTGACAATAGGGCCTGGAACCCTTTGGGAATCTGCGATATAATCAATTTTGACAATTTACCACGTGAGTAGTAGTACAGATTATTTTGTCCTTATGGTGCTTAAAATTAATTTTTTTCTTGTTTATGATAACGTCATTTTGCTTTATACATCAAATAATGAGTATGAAAGAGGTTATTTAGTGTTGATTTTTGAAGCAAAATGTTCTTTACTGTATGTATCTTTTGGATTTTTATGATATGGATGTGTGTTCTTGCAGGCCTGGGAAGGGCGGGCCTATGACTACTGTATGGAAAATCTCAAGAAAATGGGTTTCCCTGTGGATGGACTTACATTTGATCCAGATCTGGTAACATGTCAACTTTTGAAGCTGAAGCGTTTTGTGATTCATTGGATTAGATTATTATTATCTATGTTTTTTCCAAGTGACATTTACAGTCCATTAAAATGTTCAGGTTATTAGAGGTCTTGTCATTGATAAAGAGAGAGGCAATTTGGTTAAAGCTGATCGATTCGGTTATATAAAAAGAGCCATGCATGGAACCAAAATGTTATCAACTCGTGCTGTGAGGTAAGTGCTGGGCATTGTGATTCTGAATTTTGATTATAGAAGCTTGTGGAGTCTTCTTGCCAGTTTGTTCTACGAGCAAAGCATGCAACAAATAACAACTTCTTAAAGTAGATATCACTTTAGGTGATAATGATTCTATAGTAATGCTTTCTTGACATATAAATTTTCAGCTTAAATATGTTTATAGAACCACATTTTGGGTCATCTCTTTTTTAGTTCTCCAAGTTAAAAATTGTTTTTTTAGTCCCCGAATTCTAAAAAAAAATGTTCTTTTGGTCCCTCACCACCACTTTACACTCTTTATTGATGTGACTAACATCATCCATGTCTACAAGGACACATGTTAGTAAAATAATGAAGTGAAAAATATTGTTTTGTCCCTAAACTTTGGATCAAATTTCATTTTAGTTCCCGTAATTTAAAGTGACTTTTTTAGTTCCTCAAATGAAAAATTGATATTTTAAGTCCCCCTAATTTGAAACCAATTTTTTTAGTCCTGCAAATTTATGCAACATACCATGAGATGTCATAAAGATCTGAAACGAAGTAGACAGATTCTCACATGTATTATCACTTTGTAAAGTACGAATGAGGACACCAAATTGATTTTTTTATTTCATTAAAAAAGGATTGAAAATAGAATATAATTTTGAACGATCTTTTATTAAATGTAATAAAGTACAATGAGAAAAATCGTCTAAAAAAATAACAAAATATCTTGACCCTAGAGGAAATATGACTTAGAAGACCAAATATTTGAATAGACAAACAAAATGAGACAAAACTTGACTAATAGTGGGGCTAGAAAAAGAACTATGAATATACTTACTAATTGACATGACTCACAAGATGGATTCTAACATGGAAAGGCTAGGTGTTCACTGTTTTAATTTGTAAAGACTTTGATGTCTCAATTGAGCGCAGATCAGAATGGGGATGTTGTCGTCAATCCAACAGTAGAATGCCTGTTCAGCTGATAAAGGCTATAAGAATCACATCTGAAGCCAATCGTTTGTCTCGTCATTTAGTCTTGCAGGCAAACTAAATCTTTAGTAGAAAGAAATGACAAAATCAAGAGACCTTGTAAGTTTACTTATGGACAATACGTTGAAGGGAGTCCCGGGTAATAAAGAACATTATGAATAAAAAGAGAGGAAAGATGATGGACAATAACAACACTTAGGACTATTTGAGATCCTTTTGCCATGATGGCAGAAGGTACATAACTAGAAGTAGAAAAGGAAGTAAAAGGAATATTAATTACCGGCTATATGATTAGTGACCCTAGAATCAAGGACCTATGGTCCCAAAGAATGAGAGATGCCAATAAAAGAGTTACTAGTGTTCATAGCAAAAGTAGTGGAACTAGAAGCATAATGGTTCCCATACCATTGAACAAAACCGTTAAAAAGTGTCGGTGGTATGTTGTGTGCAGAAGCAGATTTTGCAGCAGACTGTGCAGGAGAATAAGTTGGATCAAAGTTTACTACATTACCTGTTTTAAGGGATTGACCATGTAGAGTACAACTACGATCAATGGTGCGACAAGTTTGTGGTAATGGCCACACTTAAATCATGACCTACGATCACTTTTAATTTTTGCAAAGTGACCATGACTACTTTTCTGTGAGGTCAAGGTTGAAGAGTCAACACGGGTAGATGGCATAGGGGCTGGACTAATTGTTGAGTCAATTGCTTTTTTAGTAGGAATGTAAAGCCAAAAAGACAAGGCAATGGTCATATTAGGGCAGAAGGAGATCCTAGAATTTGATCTCTAAGTTTGGTGTATTTTGCAAGTAAGCCATATACAAAGCAAGTAACATGAAAAAGGTTTCACGATTCTTGAGTTCCTTGATAGAGGTCAATTCTTGAGTTCCTTGATAGAGGTCGTAGTAGTAGGTAAAAGTTCATTAAAATCACCTATACAACCCAAATAGGTCAACATGGTTCCATCAAGTTGACAAAACGTAATAGTTAGCCAAATAGAGGATAGCTAACTAAATAGAGATAGCCGCCAAATAATGTTGGAATGGAAAGACCACATCCAAAACCAATATACTGGGGGCAGGTATGGCTTGTGTTAAACTTATGTACACATGTCGTGGAAGCAAAAAGTCTATTTGAGGTAGGGATGAATAGAAGACTTTATGACCCTACAAAGTTGAGTATCAATTTTACTCCATTTAGGTCATTCTTTTTCAGCCACAATTTCTTTTTTAGTAGTGTGATAGCGAGATAGGGACAAACTTGGTGAAAGCAGGTGCATTAGGTTTGAAGTCGTCATGGACGAGCCTTAGAGAGAGAAAAATAGCCAAATAGTATTTAAAATTTCCAAGCAAAGAATAACCAGCCAAAAGAGAATAGTTAGTCAAATAGAAGATAGTTGGTCAAATAATGTCAAAATCTACGGATCCAAAACCAACATATCAGGGCAGGTATTTTTGGAAATAAAAAAGAGAGTGAATTCTTAGGTGGGTTTTCTATATTTCTTGGCAGCTCCTTTGAACTGTATGTGGAAATTGAAGCTAGTGTCCTAGGTATTGAAAATGCATATAATAAAGGTTGGCAAAAGCTTTGGATGGAAACTGACCCCACTATGGTGGTCACAGCTTTTCAGAATGCAGATATTGTTCCTTGGAAATTAGGGGTAAATGATATAAGAGTTTAGACTTATGTAAAAGGATGAATGTACATATCAGTCATATTTCTAAAGAGGGAAACCATTGTGCTGACAAGCTTGTCAATCTTGGTATTGACAACAGATTAGGTTTCAATTGGTATAATAGTTTGCCTAATATTATTAGCATCGATTTTTATGGAACAGATATTCATTACCAGAATATTGGTGCATTTAAACTACATGGGTTTTGGTTGAGTTCCCCATGTTTATTTTGTATTTTGCTCCTTTTATATACATACTTGTCTATTGAGCATATGAAGGGTGATTTTATGATGCATCAACATAGTTGGGATACCATGTTTCATATTGATGCTCTATATAAGGATTCTTAGTTAAAAAAGATCTACTAGATATCTTATCAATAGTTAATAGGAATGTCAATGGTGAATAACCCTATGTGTCGAATACACATTAGGGATTCAACCTATGCCTCTTTTATTTCAACAATATCTAATTATTAGTGCAAATTTTATTTCTATAGTTAGTGGTTACGTTTAGACTACATAACCTTATTACTGCTTGTATTTTGAAATCAATTTAATATTATATGTTTTCCCTTTATTTTTACCTAATATTATGTGCATGGAAGGGAGATATATGGGAGAGAACTAGTTGACCTACGGCTAGATGATCGATGGGTGTTTTTGAACACATTCTTCTCTATGTCTGAAGCTGTGGCTTACATGCAGGTATGATTCAATTGCTATTGAAATCCTCTTAAAATTTGTTGTAGTTGTATTCAGCTACAAATTTTGCAATAGCATTTTGATAATAGTTTATTTGTCTTTTTTAAATTCCTACAAAGGATGATAGGTTGCGGTGTTACTTGTTAGGATTTATTGTTAAGAATAAAAGGATTTTAGCATGCATATAAGCTTGGCCAATATGCTCCCAGTAATTATATGCTTTTTTCTCTCCTTCTACACTCTTTGTCTGCACGGTATCTAGAATCTAGTAGGGTTTAGACCCATCATCAACAATTTTTGTCCACAGTCCTAAAAAACAGGCTACCAATAGCCATAGAGGAGGATAACCAAGACTGTTGGGGTGTTGAACTAGTTTTGGTGGCTTTAACATCATGCAAATCTTAGAGAAGGGAGATCATATGTTTTTCAAGGGGCACTCTTACAAGACCTTGAGTGCACTTTTTTCCCTGTAAATGACTCATGTTTTGGAATAGAGAGGGTTAATTTTTGTGTGCCAAGTAAAGCTCAATTGGTTGTCATTGTTTGTGGTGTTTTCGGTGTGTTTTGAGGTGTTATGGTGTGACCTAGTGCATTTTTGGATCAAAATTTGTGTTCTACTATTCTTACTATGATGTCTACTAATAAAGCAATTCCAAGGAGCCGATTATGGATTACTACTTCCTCTAAACTCATTTACATTGAGCTTGGTGAGAACTATTTGAAATAGACGTATTTGGTATCCTCGTAGGGATGGTAAGGAAGATCATTTGACGAAAACATGCCTAAATGAGTTGACAATTATGGTGTGACCTAGTACATTTGGGGATCAAAATTTGTGTTCTACTATTGTGTTGTGATGTCTAGCAACTAGGCAATTCCAAGGAGCTAATTATGGAGACAATTACTACTTCCTCAAAACTCAATGACATTGATCTTGGTGGGGATGGTGAGAAGAGAACTATCCTATATAGAAGTATGTATTTGATAGTCTCGTAGTAATGGTAAGGAAGATGACTTGACGGAAACATGTCCAAATGAGTTCAAGGTATCAATAATGTGGAACACAAAAGGTAAATAGATCTTAGTCATACTTGTCAATTTTGTTGTTAACATAGTCATTTTGTCATTAAAATTGAATTCTCTTCTCACTTGCAACTTTGGAGAAGATGGTGGCTCAGATGAAGAAACTTATGGCCCAATGTTTGCTTTTTGTCCTTGATTCATCGTATAACATGGTACAATTGCATATATTGTCCATTTGGCTGGTAGATAATCTTAAAGATTTTCTTTCTTAAGTCATATCGTCTTCATTTTAGGGGTCACTCTTTATTTTGGAGGGTGAATCTCTTGATCACTTAGCTTTGGTGGTTCAATGGTCATGGTGGAATTCATGGTGGGAGTCCAGTAGATTGTAGCAGTTATGGGTGTAGTCGAGGTGGTGATTGTTGCAATGTCTTAATCATAGGGAAGAAAGTCAATTGATGGCCCGTTTTATCATACTATTAACAAAGACTAGCTTATGCAATTGTTGGAAAATCTCATATCACCAATTCTTGAGGTGCAAATTACGTATATGTTTAACACTTTTACTTTATGCTAATTGATTTTAAAACGAAATCAAACATGTTATCTGTTAGAATCCTTTAGATATGTTAAAATCCTTTAGATATGGTATATATATGATATTAAGGTCAAATGATGATATTAGGATCAATAAATTGGTTCTATATTTATGTTATTAGCCTCAAATAAGGAAATTGGATATCCACAAAAGAGGGAAACTAGGCCAATACCCACTAAATAAACTTATAATATGGTAACTAAAATCTATCCTTGAAGAAGTTGGAGTTTACAACTTATATATTTGTTGGATAAACTTACTTGGTCTTAATTGGTTTTATAACGAAATCTAACATCAAGATTCAAACCTCATTAACAATATGAATCGCCTAGGGGAATAAGATACAATGGTGTTATGAGTGATGATGAATTTAGGAGATGCAACCAATTTTACATCTCTCAACAATTATTTGCTCTTTATTCAACCATTTTTTGTACAAACAAGTAATCATATTTCATGTCTATCCTTTACTTCCTAACATCAGGTCATTGATTTTGATGTCATCGATCATACGACAAGCAATTCATGTTTTGTTTTCTTCTTCCAACCCTTCTAGTATCCATTCTTCTATATTCCTTGGTAATGGGTCTAGCATTCATATTAAAGCGAGTGGATGTACTACCCCATTTCTTGCCTTACTATTGTCTTTTGTTATATACCTTCCTAGTTTTTGTGAAATTTTCTTTCCATTAATCAGATAACACATACATTAAACTGTTTTGTAACTTTTTTCCTGGTGGGTTTATATTGTTAAGATGGATTTTGGTGAATCTATTTCTCATTTAAAGGCATGTCTCGTTTCCCTGGGGTATTCCCAAATTTATGGGGTTGATTATACTGATGTTTTTCTCCTATTGCTAAGCTTTCCTCTAGTCATATTCTTTAACCTCTTGTTAAACATCATTGACCATTCTTTCAATTGGATGTGAAGAAAGTTTTCTTGCGTGGTGACGCATAAGAGAAGTTGTATATGAAACAATTACGTAGATTTGTTGTTTAGTGGAAGTATGATAACATTTGTCACTTAAAGAAGTCATTATAGCAACTGCTTAAATCTTGGTTTGGTAGATTTACTAAATTGACTATTACATTTGGATAAAAGAAAAGTTAGTGATATAAGTATTTTATAAATAAACCAACCTTCCAATATTTTATTTATGTATGCTGATGAAAATGTCATTATAGGAGATGATAGCAAACACATATAATTTGAGGCAGGCGATGTAGGACTCTTTCCAACACTCCCTTGACAAGATCCTTACTATAATAGGTGATGACTAAAAAGAGCTATAGTTTTAATACCATGTCATATTCATCTTAATATTAATTAGCAATAAGCGCAGTAGCCCAACAAATATATATAAGCCACTTCCCAAGAATTAAAGTAGGCGATGTGAGACTCTCTTAATACCTCCCTTGACAATATGCCAACTTAAATAAGTGATGACTAAGAAGAGTTATTGGTTTTGCTACCAATTGGTAATAATGACTCAACATATATATAAACCCAATGAACAAATGCCAAGTGACCCAACAAATATATAAGCTCCGATAGTATATACTTAACCTAATGAATATGACGGTTGTTATATATTGTTTGTAGTGCATCCAATTGCAGTTTTCTCATATGCTTTTCTCTATCCCTACGTTCTCGCGCACTCTAAACTACTTATGTTTGTGAACCCTGTATTCTAGAGGAAACTAAAGTACCTAGTGTTTTTGTCTTACTTTTTATTGGTCAAATAGGGATTTTAAATGTTGTATTTTTTCTAGTAGCTAGTAGGCCCAAGTGAGAGTTTTTGAAATATTAAAATATGTTTTAACATGAAGCAGCTCCAACAAGAAGCTTTAGTCACTTATTTCTTGCCTTTTGACTGACAAATTATCTATATTATAAGCATCTCTTTTACACATGTCGACTTTAAATTTTGATCTAAGTTTGACTAGGATTGGATGAGATTGATGTGATGTGATTGGATTATTTTCAGATGGTTGACATGTTGGATAATGGGGTTATACCAGCCAATCTTGGCCCCTTTGATTATAAAGGGCTTTATAAGGTAGTGTGCAAATATCTTGTAAAATTATATTTGAATAGAAATATTCTTTTTTTCACTTTTGACTCGATTTTCAGGCCATGGGAATAGCTCTTGTCATGGCACATGTAGAAGGCCGGCTCAAGGTGAACACATACGCATGTTTTCCTTGGCTAGGATGATGTATTTATGTTGTGCTTTATGTGAACCTAATAACTTTCTGTATTTATGTAGAATGAGATTATGTCCAACCCTGAACAGTTTGTGGAGCTTGATCCGGAATTACCCTTCGCACTTTTGGATCAGAAGGAGGTATTACTTATATTATGTTTATCATTGTGTTGCATTGCATATAATATGCTTCTCCTTACTTTGTTATCTTTGTGAAACAGGCAGGAAAAAGACTTTTGCTTATTACCAACTCAGATTATCATTATACAGCCAAAATGATGCATCATTCCTTTAATAGATTCCTTCCCAATGACATGGGTTGGCGAGATTTATTTGACATTGTAAGTTCTTAGAGATTATAAATGCAATATAAAGTTACCCTCTTGATGGTAATGAAAAATAACGCCATTATCTTTATTTTTTTAAAATAAACCTTGCATAAATTGATTTGGCTCTTCCTGATAAGTAGGTAATTGTCTCAGCGAACAAACCAGAATTCTTCCAAATGTCACACCCCATGTATGAGGTGGTGACAGATGAGGGTTTAATGCGTCCATGCTTTAAGGCTCAAATTGGTAAGTGCTCCCTATGTCCCACATAGTATGTTTTATTGTTTTTCAATAGTGTAAATTATCCTTAACGTTTGATAGGGAACATCACATGTGACTTCAAACTTTTCTTTTATTAATATATCAAATTAGGAATTTTATTTAGAACACAATTCCTTACTTTTATAATTCAAAAGAAAAAACCAGAACAACTAGGAAAAGTAATGAAAGAATTTACTTGTCATTATATGGAAAGTATTATCAATTGGAAAGAGGTAGTATTTCAATCCTTTATCAAGGGAAAAAGATTATTTATTTATGATTTAGCATTACCTCATTGCATGCATGATTCATATCATTTAGGAATAAGGTATGTCCCTACCTTAAAGTTTGGAATAGAGAATTAGTCGGAAATTGTAGACATATTGCTACTTGTGTGCATTATAAGAATTTGAATTACAGAAGCAAAGAACTAATGACTATTTTTATTTAGTACTACACAAATATTAATAAAATTTTTACTTGTATGCTCTGAAAGCTATTTTTACTTATTAGCTTTTGTTACCCAGATATAGTTTTTCTCTTCTACACTCCTTCTATTTTTCTTATGTATTTTCCTCCTATAAATAACATGGATCAGCTAAGGGATGATTTAATCTCTTAAGCTTCTTTTATCATACTTTTCGTCTTAAATTGGTACCAAAGTATGTTGATTTTGCTCCGTTGTTTTTTCCCGTGAGTTTGCAGTTGTCCAGTATCATCCACCACTGTCAACCGCCTATCACTAGTCACTTATCTCTTTTTTTTTTTCTGATGACTGTCTAGTCTGGTTTGTCTCATCAAGACACGGTGAATTTATTGTATTTCTTCACTGTCCACCGCCGACAACTACCATTTTCTCCGACGACCACCGAACTTGGTGCACCTTGTCATGCAACAACCAACCCACGTAGTTGTGGCCTCTAGTTCATCCACGTGCCACCACTTGTTGCTTTTTTGATGGCTACACTTTTGCTGTGATGGCCATGCACTGCTTCCCTTTACCTGAGCAACTCTGCATCTCTTTTGTATGATTAGCCAAACCTCCTTGACCCTGTTTGGCATTCAGGATAAACTATTTTTCTCTCAAACTTCTTTGGCATCTCAAATTTTTATGTATTTTATTTTTAATTTACAGGGAATACAATTATTTTCTTGTAATTATTAAAAAGAAAGTAGATTTTAAGTCTAACTCAACTTTACAGTATCAACTTGTAAGGTGAAATTTACAGCAACTTATAATATATTTTGATCATATCTTTACTTGATGTAGGATTTGTAACATACCCTCTCTCGCCAAAGACTGGACATTTTGAGTGTGGTATTAGATATTTATAGGAGGTCTAATAGTAGGTAACATGATAGGCTAACAAACTTTGCTATGGTAGGTTCTGATATTATATTAAAACGTGGGTATAAAACTTAATTCAATCTTACAGAATCATTTTGTAAGGTGAGGCTTGCATCTACTTATGTCCTATATAATTTGACAATATCCTTAGGTGATTTGAGATCTTCAACAATAGCAAACAAAAGCTTAGCAAGTTTCATCTTGAAGGAGAGTATTAGAAAAACAAAAAATATCGAAAGATATTATATAAGAATTTTTAGAGTATATTAGATGATCTCTTAATATTATTCTTCTTTTATATGTTACTATACTTTCTTATTTAAATAGAATCTTTATAATTATAGGAATGTCTTATTAGAATATGATGTGTAGGCATATCATATCATGTATTTATTGCTATCAGTATATTAAAAACGGAATCTGTGAAGTCCAGTCCATACACAGTTTTCAGCATCTTTGACACCTATTTTTCTCTCTTTCATTAGATTGATTTTTTTTATTGTTTCTGCCACGACACTATATATTTAAAATGCTGATTAAGGATATTTTATTTCTTTTAATACCACTTATAACCACCATGGTAGTTTTCACTGAACTTTACTGAACACTTGTGAATATATTATGGAGAATGCGTTGGCTTTGCAATATGCTACATTTGAAGTTATTTTTAAGATGTTTTAACTTTGTCGTACTTTGTTTACTATATATTCTGCAGGTGGTTTGTACTCCGGGGGGAATGCACAGATGATTGAAAGCTCCCTGAATCTACATGGAGATGAGATACTTTACATTGGAGACCATATTTACACTGATGTTAGCCAATCCAAAGTCCATTTGCGATGGCGAGCAGCATTGATTTGTCGAGAATTGGAAAAAGAAGTTAGTACAGTTAGTTCACACACAACAATTTTTTAATGGTAGTTTAGTTATGCTTAATTGAATTCAATTTTCTCTTTAGCTGAAAAGAATTATATTATCTCTTGTTTTGAGTAAGGAAAAATGATATGAATGCTGCTTAACATGAAGTTAAAATGCAGTTTCGACCTTAAACAGTTTTTTATGTTGTGACCCATATCTACTATGTTGAGAACTATGATGTTTAATTGGTCTCCAAAGCTGAAAATTTCTTTGTGCTTAATAAAATGTTAAAAATTCAGTACAGTGTCCTAATTCATGGCCGGGGTTGTAGACAATCATTGTTGGAGCTTTTAAATCAAAAGGAGGTTGTTGGTGATCTCTTTAACCAACTTCGACTGGCTCTACAGAGGCGAAGTAAAAGGCATAATGCTCAGGTATGTTTGGTCCTTTACTTAAAGATGTGATTCAAGTATAAATCATGTAATGTTAGAACTATAATTCCTATTTTATTTATGTATCAAATAGTCAAAATCGAGATAATGAGTGGGATCACCAGGGACTGACATGTAAATTGTAGGATCGTAATATAGATATTAGATCGTACTCCTACAAAAATATGAGATATACACTCTTATGATGATACAAATAATGTAAATAATTAAATAAAATTTAGTCACTTTGAAATACTTATCAAGCTTATGTTCATCATAAATCAAAAGAAAGCATATATACCAAGTCCTTAATTAATGAATGACAAACAAAACAATTTATTACCTAATCACTTAAGTCAAATTAGCATAATCAAAATACCAAATTATCAAATACTAACTACCAAGTCCAAGACAAAGAACACCTAGATGGACAAAGCCTAAATAATAATTATCTAATATAAACCTTTTAAATTAAAACCAAAATTCAAGGGATCTGCAATAGTTCCATCTCCTTTACCAAGCATATCAATAAGAAACATCCTACTCATCTACAGGTGGGATGGCAAAAACATCATCATGTTGCCTTCCACTTAGGACTTGACCTTCAACCAAATGTTCATCATCTCCATTTAAATTTGAAAAATCATTTAAACCTACATTTTCATTATCTCTTTCAACATTTTCCATAATCCACTCATTATAGGGTAGAATATCACCAAGTTCGAATTCCTCGAGTGAGCTTCTTCTACCCTCCTTCTCAACCAATTTTGAATTAAAGATGACTTGAGAAATATCATAGTTTTTTGTTTCAAATGATTTCTTCCCTTTGTGTGGACCAAATAAATAAATATGCAAAAAAAAAAAAAAATTATATATATATAAGTAATGACTAATTTACTTTTTTTATTTTTTTTATTTTTTTATTTTGTAAATTTTAAAATTTTATCATCCGAAATGCATTCCAGTCCAGTTATGTTCATATTTAGAGAAACTACATGTCAAACTAAAAATCTTTGAAATTCTAGATGTTGATCTCCACAAGACTCCCATCAAGCAACACAAGTCTTTTTCCCAATCTGCTTTTCATGGTTCTAGAAATCTTAAAGTTATAAATTAATCAAATGTTGTTCTTTAGGGTCAGTCACTGCCTTTCGTATACATTATAGTGGGCCAATTTTAACTTTTGTATCAACTTTCAAATTAAAAGAATAATGCAGTTTAGGCTCCATAAAATAGCCTGCAGCATGCAGAGGCCTATGGAGCCAGTTGTCCTACATTTCATCAGTAATATCTACAGATCTTCAAAACTAAAAATAGAATAATAATAATAATAATTTGAATTACTGTTCAGTTTGGGTTCATTCTAAAAGGTAAAATCTAAAGATGAAATTACAATTTGGAGTTTCGTAAATTACATTTTCTTATTGCTATTAAACATTTTTTGTTTTTTTTTTCTTTAGTTTGATCTGTTGCCTTGTAGATTTTTTTTTTAATTGTATTTTTGTTGACAAGTATTCATAACTTTTGAAGTGATTTTGATTTCTTCTCTGATTTTCTTTTCTGAGAATTTGTCTAATTCATATTGATTTTTCTAGTTCTACTTGTGAGAATTCTTATTGAATTAGGTGTTGTTGAATTTGCATTTTGTTACATGATTTATTTTTTTAATTGAACCAGATAAATTTAATATGAATAAATTACTCAAGAATGGCAAGTTATATTTCTGTTAATATTGATATTAAGATTTTCTGTGTATTTGAAAGACTGTTGCTACAACTGATATGGACAATGAAAATCTTACACAAAGCATGCAAAAATTACTTGTTGTTATGCAAAGACTAGATGGAAAAATTGCTCCAATGCAAGAGGCAGATGGGGATCTCTTCAATAAAAGGTAAGTTCAAAGAACAGGCCTATTGATTTACAAATTCTTTATCATACTAAGCTATTATTGATTTCTGCCACAGGTCTTTTCACAAAAACATATATGTGTGTGTATGTGTATATGTATATAGTTTATATATATTCTCAGCTATACCCTTGTTTGGATAATGGGTCTGAGTTCCCCAAACCTGTTCTTTCAATCTATGGGACTCCCACCCTCACCATATAAATGATTTTTTTTTTCTTGGACTGCCATGCTAACAAAACCATGGCGAATATTTATGGTTTTTAATAGATTTTATCTTGCTCACATGGACTCATTAACTTGGTGGTAAACTTGTGAATTTACTCGAGAATGCTCGAGTCTACCCAAGTCAACATCAGTCTAAACCAAAAACGGGTTTACAAGCGAGTTAACTCATGGCCATTCACTTAACTCCTAACATCATCTCAAGTGTGTTAACTCCCAAGTTTTGTTAACCATGTTATCCACAACTACTAAAACAGCCTGATAACTTTTGATTTTGGAATTCCAGTTATAAAATCTATAGAGATGTCCTCCCAGACTGCATTTGGTATAGGAAGATGTTGCAACAGTTGCTCTGGAGTTGTAGCATAATACTTGTGCCTCCTGCACACGCACATGAAAGCACGAAATCTCATTGTTTTCTGCTTCCCTGTCCAATAGACAATAGTGGCAAGTCTCCTATAAGTACGCAAAAATCCAGAATGTCCCCCAGCAGGTGTTAAATGAAATTCCTTAAGAAGTAGGGAAATGGACGGAGAACTACACCAATAGGAGTGATAGTGCCCATTATGAGTGCAAAAATCAGTCTTGTGGACATCTTGACTTGAGATCAATTTTAGAAAATATGGCACCAAGCAGTTCATCCAATAATTCATCAACTACTGGAATAGGATATTTATCAGGGATAGTTACCTTGATTAAGGCTCTATAATCAACACACAATCTCCAAGATGCATCTTTCTTCATCACAAGCAAAACCAAACTAGAAAAAGAACTTACACTTCAAATCAACTTTGTTTGCAATATCTCTTTCACCTATTTTTCAATTTATTTATTTTGATGGTGTGGGTAGTGAGAAGGTCTCACGCTTATGGGTTCTTGTCCTGGATGCAAATTAATGTGATGGACTTGTGTTCTCATCATAGGTAACGTCAATGCCTCCTATAAAACTTCAGCGAAGGAATCCAACAAATCTTCCAAGGATATTATTTTTTATTCTCAGTGAATTCCCACACCGACTGCCTCTCGGGTTTTTGTGCCAGCCACAAACAACCACCACCCCTCTTTGACTCCTCTCCTCCAAGAATTCATTTAAGAACAATATTATTCCAACCACTACATTTTTCCTCCTTTACAAGTACCTAACCCTGTATTGCGTGAGTGTAGCTTTCTTGCCCTGATGAATAAATTCCATGAATCCTCCCCATCCATAACAATATTAGCAAGAGTGCGCAGCCATGATACCCCCAAGATTAAGTCAAGACCCCAAATTCCAGCACAAAAGCATCAATAGTAAAAGATCAAGCTGTAAGTTGAGAGCTCTATAAGCTCCCATGATAAATATTTGATGTCCATCCCCCACCCTATTTTCTTCCTACGCATCTCTGTCACTATCAATCCTAAAGTCGTTGTTAATTCACAACACGAGAAGTTATGCCTGCACCACTATCCACCAACACTACCATATCAATTCCCAGAAATTTTCCATCAATTTTCATGGTTTGACCCTTAATAGTCGATTCCCCCAAGCTTCCAAGATTTTCCATCAGCGTTTACTCTAGCTCCTCTTCTTCCTCATGCTCTTCAATTTTCAACTTTTCCATTTCTCCTTCTACTTCTTCAATCTCATATTCATCAAGCACCAACAATCCAAGTTGTATCTCAAGACATTGATGAAGAGGATGAAACTTAACTCCACGTAACAAGTCCTTGCCCCTCCTCTCCATTTATTCTAGATACAAAAGATGCTTGAAACCCCTAAATCGAATGTGCCCAGACATAGTCGATCATTGCCACCCTTTCTCACTGTGGAAGATATAAAAGAGGATGGATTTTTGTTATTAGACAATATAGATAGAAACCCATATCATAGCTAGCTCCAACCAAACCGAATTTGATATGGTCATATGCCATTGAGACTATGTTAAGGTTCCAACATAAAACCAATTGGCAATATGTGGAGTAGTCTAACATGTATTTAAACCATACCAAATGACATGAGGTAGGTGATGTGGGACTTTCAACACGCCTCCTCTAACGAAGCCTGCCGGACCAGGCAAAGGGTACTTTTGACCCAACTAAAGGGCAACTTTTGGCCCATGACAATAACCGGAAAGATGTTAGGCTTTGGCTCTGATACCATGTTAAGGTTCCAACATAAAACCAATTGGCAATATGTGGAGTAGCCTAACATGTATTTAAACCATACCAAATGACATGAGGTAGGCGATGTGGGACTTTCAACAGACTGATTTACGACCTGATTCATAAATGAGGCATTTGCTTCCTATACCCCAATAATTTTCACCTGCACACTCACATATTTCTTTAAAAAGACAATATTACCTTTACAAATTTTATTTGATTGGGAAGTAAAATATATTCTTAAAACATTTCCCAAAAATTTCCGAAACCAATAATCTAGAAATATCTTTTGGAATGTTCCTGATTGATCCATCCTGAATATTGTAACAGAAATATAGGTTTTGGATTGGATAATTCAAAACATATTAAAACTTTTTAGGTTCTAGATTAAGTAATCCAAAACTACAATGATACAATTTAAACTCCACTCCCCAATGATTCCCTTTTTTCCTCTTGTTTCATGTTTGAGAAAAATATCATTCCTTCACAAGTTCACCTTCCCTTTCTCAAGAAATCATGTTAAAACTGTGGTGCACATGGTCTCACACCATCTCTCCATCATTTCACCTTCCTTGTTCCCTATCTATAAGTTCACTCACTGAACCAACCTTTTCCTTTCTCACCTTTTTGCATTCCTCAATTATTATGCATACCCATTCCTTCCATTTTACTATATAAGAGAACCTAGGAGCTTGAGGGTTTAGCGTCAAGATCCCGAGGTAATACTTCCCGTTCATAATTCATTCCACTTTTATAGCTTCAGAAGACCCACAATTGTCTATTTTAGATTGAAAGTGGTGTTATATTCTCTTATATAGTTATCTTGTCTCATTCATAAATATCGGCCTAATATTGTCTCACTCGAAAATATCTAACATATGTTGCCCAAGACGACAAGAAGTGTGGATAGGAAAAATTATAAAAGGCATTTTCATTACTTAGATTGGATTACAAGCTCATGATACCATTTAATAAAGCATATTAGGGAACGAAAACAACAGAGACACTAGTGGAAAGTTAGAGAAAGTTTAGAATTCTCTGTAAACAAATATGTTAGTAAATCAATGAGCTAAAAGTTGAGTTCTGATATTTAAAAACAGAGAGCTATCTGTTTACATTTGTTATCCTGACCGATACAGTCAAGTCACAACACAACTAAAATAACTGGCAGTCTACTGTTGTCAGTTCAGCAGTTCACTAACAGTACAGGGCTAATCCAACTTATACAATTATATCTCAAACGCATGTAAACTTGTATTGTCTCAGCAACCCTAATTTTTAGCCTTTAAAATGTTGTAATAAATTGAAATTTTTGTGGTTTCTATTTTTCTCTTTTTTTTTTCTTCCTGGGCTGTAGTGAGAGAAAAAAACTATGTGGTCGTGCTAGCAATCAACATATATTCTATTTGTCTTGCATTTCAGTTATTTATGCCACATGCCTATGGTATTAACCTGCTGTATCTGCCTTCATTAGGTGGGGCTACCTATCACGTGCTGGTTTGTTCGACAAAAGCCACTTGATGAGACAAATTGAGAAGTAGGTTCTTTCTTCTGGACACCCTTCGTCTCTATTTTAACAGACTATGCACTTCATTGAAACTGAACAGTTTAAATTTATCTTAATTGCAGGTATGCAGATATATATACCTCTAGGGTGTCAAACTTTCTATATTACACACCCTTTATGTATTTCCGCTCTCAGGAGCAGGTATCCAGATTACCTTCGTTTCCTTACCTCATCGTCCGAATTCTTGAAGCATTATGTTATTATTTGGTGTAAACTAAGATATATTTCTTTTTCTGCAGAACCTTGCACATGATTCATACACACACTATGGTTCTCAAGTTGATAAGTTTCCTTCCAATGGAAAATTGGATTAAAAACAGAGAAGCAATGGAAGAAATATATGTATCTGGTTGACTTAAAACAGATGTGTTATTTCAACCTTATACAATGCTGGGATGATGATGTACCAAGTTATTTAAATTAATAATAAGTCCATGAAAGGCTCTAGGCATCGTCTTTCACAATGCTTTAAAAGTCCCATGTAAATGGAGATTATTGGTATTTTGGGTAAACAATAAGGATAGAGTGGTAAGATACTCTCCCTACACCAAGGGGTGTTTTAGTTGGTTTTTGGTTTTTTCAGTGAGAGCAGAGGCAAACCAAAAAGAAATAAATGCAAGAGATTGTGTTTCGAACTGAATCCGAATTGCATGTACACATTACACTGGGTATAATCACATTTACGTGAAATTGTTGGTGACCAATCAAATTAGTATTTTATATTGGATTGAAATGAATATTATTTCTTCCATCATTATAAATCTTAATGCATTTCCTTGGCGTTCAATTTTTCTCAGGTCACTCGTTTCGAAGCTTGAATAACAAAAGGATTACATCTGGCTGTGATTATTGGTCGTTCGTGGTGACCCATGCACTTCGTTTTTGAAAATTGTTACTATTTGCTTTTGATGCGACGTATTTGAACTGATCACAGATAATTGCTTCTCAACTTTTACAATCTCAAATAAATAATTGATATTAAATGATTTGTTATTTAGTTTGTCTTTTTATTAACTTTTAGCCTGTGATAATGAAATTAACAATAGAGAAATAAAGATTCTTTGTGAGACTACTGAGAATACCTGTGAGAAGGAAATTGACCCGGATAACCAATACAGTAAAAGTAGAAAACCATCCCACGGAAAAATTAAAATATTACTTCAATCATTCAAACTAGTTGGGCATCATTTGGACGTAAGGGTTCCGTCGAAACTTGACCATGCAATTATTATTCTCTAATTTATTTCTTATCAAAATGGGATTAAATGTTCACAAAATCTCAAGGCTATCTAATGATTTCTATTTCTATAGACATCAATCTCTATCATTATTATAATATTAAATATGATTTTTATTAAAAAAGAAAAAGAAGAGAGAGTAGCCTTGAGTGTATAAGCCTAAAGGGATTGTAATAAGATTAGAGATGTAAAAATGAGTTCTAATATGTAAGTGAAATTGATTTATCACGGTTTGAGTTGAATTTGATTTTTTCTTTTTTATGAGTTAAAAATAAACTTAACTCATTTAACTTACCGATTAAGTAGATTTTAATCTTATGAGTTGACCTGGAAACTATTATTTATTTTAAATTTTAAAAATAATTATAATAATTTAGTAATCATAATTGATTTTTTTTTCTCTCTATCTCTATTCTATGTCATCACTATATCTCAAACTCTCACTCAATTTTATCATCAATTATTCATCACAGCATTGTGTTCATTACTGTGTTCAGTCAACTTGTCATCACTCAATTATACAGTTACGACATCGTGTTTATTGTGTTTGTCGTACCAATACCTTTTAATTACGTTATAGCGTTTTGTCACGTTTCAATTGCATCATAGCATTTATTATATCAGCGTCACAATATTTTGATCTTATATTTTAATTGTGGCACAACATTTATCATAAAAAAAATTAGGTTAAACTCAATTATTTTGAACAGTGAGTTAATCATGTGAGTTCGGTTAGCTACCCTATATAAGATTAACAGTTTGTATATAATATCAATCTTCTAGAAAAGACATTATCTACTCCAACACGTAGAACATAGAATCATAATACCAACAATACGTAAATAGAAGAAAAATCAAACGAATAAAACATACGTTACAGAACAACAACAATGAAAAACCAATAAGGTTGTACCATTTCAATGATTGTTACCCTTTATCTTTGAAACGATCAATTCATATTCATCATCAACTCACCAACAAATCTTAAATCTACACTCCATTTATTTGATCGTATCTCTTACTTTTGTTTTAAAAAAAATAATATATATATATATATATATATATTAAGATATTAGTACAATTTAATGTAATTAAATAATTTTTATTTATAAATAATAAATATGAAGTTAACTTTTTTATATAAATTATGATTAAAATTAAGTTTGATAGTGCGTCTTGTGTGGTCTCGTGAAGTTTTTGGGTTATTCAAAATTTCCAGCGCACGACGCACGAGTCAAGCAGCATGCAGCAGAAACGCGGTACCAACACACATGCAAAATGTGACAAATTATTCCAATTACAAAAATCATAATTAAACTTACATAAAAAAATAAAGAATTCTTTAAAATACTTAGATAAAAACAAAAATGATATAACATGTAGAAAAGTTATCTTTTTATTTTACATATTCTCCTGTTTCAATTTTATACAAATCAATGGTATGTAATATATATGAAGTTTCATGTTTAATTTATATGGTTGTCATAATTATTATATATAAAAAAAAGTAAGTGAAAAACTTAATTCGAATAACTGAAATATAATAGAAAATTAAATGTAAAAAAAAAACTAAAATAAAAAAAGAGCAACTAAACCTAATAATATTTATTCAAAGATAATCAAAGAAGAAAATCAATATAAGAATTTATTAAATAACAACTAATTTAGAGATAAAAATTATTTTAACTAAATTTGATTTCTTAATTATAATTTAAATTGATTTTAATTATAATTATAAAATGCTAGCGGACTAATTGAAAATTAGACTTTAATTTAATAATTTGAAGTTTAATTTTTAATTAGCAAAATGAAGTTTATATATATATATATATATATATATATATATAACTAAAAACCATTTTAGACTCTAATTTAAAAACTAATTTATTTAAAATATTTTTTAATTAATTGATATAATAATTAACTATTTTTATTTTTAAATTGATACATATTTAATTATTTTTTTAATAACTATACTTATTGAAAATGATTAATAACTATACTTATTGAAAATGATTATTTAAATTGATACTTATTTTTTAATAACTAAGTAGGGAATTTGAGAATGAGATTGTTTGAATTAAAAAAAAATGGGTGGAGAGTAAAGAGAAATGAATGAAAATATTCTAATTAATAAGATTGATTTCATTTATTAAAAGAAAAGTAATAAAGTAATTTAATGATGATTAAAATATCTTTTATGTAAATTTAATAAAAATAAATATAAATATAAATTAGATATAGTTTAATATGAAATAATTATTTAATAAAAGGAGTAAAATTTTAAAAAATAAAATTAATTTATATGTAAATTGAAAATAAAATTTAAATATTTTATAAACATATTTATATTGTATAATTTGTTTTATATAATAATTTATAAATAATATTAAATTATAGAATTTTGTTTATAAAATATAATTTTTATATGTTTTTATATAATAAATTTAAAACACACTTCAATTTGAATAGGTGATTAGCGAATTTATGATAAAATAAAAATTATTCAACATATCAATATTTTTTAATTTAATAATTTTTTATTACATCATAAATTATTAATATATATTTAATTAAAATTTAATAAAATAATATGAAATATATTAAAATATAGTTAACAAAATATTTATTTTATCAAATTATAAATAACATTAAAAAATTATTTAAAAATGATTTTAAAATTTTAAAGAATGAATTAAAATTATGTACATGTTTTTGTTTCACATAATTCAAAATCATATTTAAGTTTAATAATTTTTTACAGAGATTAATTATTAGTAAAATTGATAAAAGTTTTATATTAATAATATAATTTTAAAAAAAATAGTTATATTTTGTTGGACGTTTGCCTAAAAAAAATAAAACCATGTACGTTTTATCATTTATTTATTTTTACTTTATACTTGTAAATATTTAAAATATATATATATATATATATATATATATATATATATAATTAATCATGAACTAAAAAATTTGTATACATTAAATTAAAAAAATGATAAATTTTAATAGAGATATATTTAATTGATCTTAACTTAAAAAGGAGAAAAAAATTAAAATTATGAGAAAATAATATTTTAAAATTAATTATATTATAATATACATATAAACATAATTGATAGATAAATAATTGATTATTTTTCAACACATAATAGATTATATTAATCACATAATTAAGTGTGTCTTCGATTTATAATTAGCTATATTAAATAGAAAATTCTTTAAATTCTAACCAATTTATCTTAATATAAAAACTAATCAAAACAAGTGGATAAACAATGAATGGATATCTTTCCTCTCAAATTTTATTTTTTTAAAACGGAAGAAATCAGCTTTTTGTTGTATTTTTTGTGTTTTTTTTTTCCAATAAATATGTGAAAGAGGAGGAGATGAAAGATTCTCAGTGGCTAAATATCAATTTATGAAAAGTTAAAAAAATATATTAGGTTAAAGATTTGTAACTTAAATGAAATTATTTTTATTTTATTTCAATCTATTTAAAACATACATGATTTATATAACTTTAGGTCAATTATTTTATAAGTTTATGCATTAATACATTTTATATAATAATAGTTATTTTTTAAATAAAATAAAAATATATTATTTTATTATATATATATATATATATATATAATTTGATAAATAATTTATTTATTTTAAAAATAAATATTAAAATAAATTTATAATTATTATTTATTTTAAGATGTAATCATTAAGATTAATTATTATTTTAAATTAATAAATTATTAAAATATAAATAATAAAAAAATTAATTCTTATTTTATATTTAATAAATCCATTTTTTATAATTTATATTAAATTATTATATCTTAAATAAAAATTAATTCCATTAATAAAATTTAAAATTTTAAAATATAGTTTTATTTTTTTGTTTTATTTAAATAATTATTTAATTAATTATTTTATATAAATATGTTAATATTTAAAGAAAAAAATTAATCAAACAAAAATTTATTCATTATCTTATTGGTGTAATATATGACTAGATTAAATTAAAAAAAAATATTTGTTTTAAAATATAAGTTTAACTGGACAATTAATTTTTTTTATTTAATGGTAGGGTTAGATCATGTTAGACTAACGCTTTAATTTTGACAAAATTGTCAAAATGAGAAAGAGAATCCTTCTTGTATGTATTTACACAAGTATCTCTAGGGAAAATTAATTCTTGAATATTAAGAATTGATTTTTAAGTATTCATAATCTATTATCATCCAAAGAATAATTTGGTCATCTTCAAAATTATTGTATTAAGATATTGTTTTATCATTTACATGTTCAAGTGACTCACAAACTCTTGCAAACTTTTCAACCTTGATTCCAGCATCTAATTCAAACAAAACGTTAGTCTCTCTTTTGAACCATGCCTTAATTGAAGGGAAAATAGCCACATAGCATATGACAAATGTAACCCTAATCAATATCCCACTACCACCACCACCACCACCACCAATCCTTTCAAACATTTAAATACGATGAAAAGGTTGACGCATCATGGTCCATGGATTGGATTTGAAAGTGTGCCCACACACCACCAAATCAAAAGCCCTTCACCACCACAAGTTTGTTTTTTTGTAGATGAAGGTCATTTAGTGAAACGTGGTTGGCAATAAATCTACACCATTCATCAACCCAAAAGATCACACTCCACCTTTCAAATCATGCTTAGACAAAATCACCCACATCAATTTGTGGTCTTCCCTATGCTTCCAAATTAAGGTCATGAATCGAGTCACGAAATAATACACCAATCTTCCTTATGCTCTTCTTTGCATCACACCCTCCTTATTATTATTAGCTCACGTTTTCAACTACATATTTTTGTGGACACCAAAAATTGGCTACATTTTTTACTTTAAATTTTTAACATATTATTATATTTATTTAAGTCAACAATCTAAAATTAACATCATCCTTGTCTTTAGGGTTTTTTTTTTTCAATAAAAGTAAAGGACTCGATTTTGTAATGCCACGTGATGCGAATCTCAAAACAATTGTTTTTCCTACTTTAATTCATAAATGCGAGTAGTTAAAGATTTTTACATTTTAAATTATTTAATTTTCCACTATACTCCATAATATTACAATGATGTCACTTTCCCTACTAAATAAATAAAATATCCATTAGGGACAGAGTCCGCTATGGTTAGATCTGTCATCCACTAAACCCGTCAATTTACTTGGGCTAATTGCGTGGAATAGGTAGTCGTCATGATCCACCTAATTAATAAAAAAATATTTTTTTATTATAATAAAATTAATTATAAAGATAATATATAAAATTAAAAATTTTAAAAAGAAAATTAAAAAAGTTTCACTCTCTACAGTAAATATTCTCCTTACTGAAACACAACATTCTCTTTCTTGTTCTCTTGTTACATCCTAAGACTGATTATTTTTATCCTTATAACTTGAATTAAAGGTGTAAGAATTACTCAATCAAGAATAATGTGAAGTTTTATCATATAAAAAAGATATAGATATTTAAATTTTTCAATATAAAACAATATAATTTTTATAATTTTTAATGTTATTTATATATATATATATATATATATATATATATTTGTTATTATTTATTATTATGTAAATTTTATTATTGTTCTAAATTATAATTTCTTAAAACAATATATTGATTTATATTATTAAATTGAAATAATATATATATATATATATATATATATTATTAATTATTGACAAACAAATAATAATTTTATTATTAATTTTATTAAAAAACTTATTTTAAAAAATAAATTATTTTTTCTAAGTTATAGTAGGTCAATCCGCCAACTCGTCAACTTGTTCAGTCAAGATCTACAAGTATAACTGGTCAGTCCATTCTGTCATGCTTTTGATCAGGACAAGATGCTTGTTTTGTCATTCCTAATATCTACCTTGTATTTTTTTTATATATTTTATTGACCAGGAATAATATGTTAGTATAAGAATGTAACGTAAGCACATCATCCCATATAAATAATCATAACAATAATATCAGAAAAAAAGTTTTAAAATTTAAATACTTTCGTTGTTCTGCTAAAAATGTATTTATTTATAATTTAAGAAGACTTGGCTATATTTTAATCTCGAAAGAGTTTTTTATTTTTCAAAAAATTTAATTTATCTTATATTAATGATATTTTTATCATCTCAAAATAATTTAAGTGTGATGGATACTTTATGATCAAATATATTTTATTTTACTAAATTTCATTTCAATTTTATGAATAAAATTTTATCTAATAACATTTTATTAAATTAGTACTTATTCAACACAATAATAAGTCTCTCAATAAACCATTGTTAGTTTAGAAAATATGTTAAAAAAAAAGTTACTATCTCTAAACAAAACTGTGAAAAAAAAAAAGAATAAAAGATTGAAATATATTAAGAACAATAATTAATCTTCTAGTTTTGACATTTTGCTAATTATTAGTATTATTGTTTTTGTTTTTAGTAAAAGATTGAAATATGTCTTTGCATTTAATTTGAGGTATTTTTTTCCTTCTAATGCAAGATATTCTTCTTTTACGAAAGTTTAAAATTAAATGAGAGATAGATAAAGATATTAAATGTATATAAGTTGACTAATTACTTAAACTCATAATAATTAATACATGTTTTCCAATATTAAATAAAAATCATAAACGGAAAGTTACTTTAATTTTAATATAGTTTAATTTTTAATTCAACCCGAATACACTTTATTGAATTGTATTTTTTAAATTTAATAACCAACAAAATTAGGTTAATTGAATAATCGAATTAGGCAATTAAATTTTGTTTTTTTTAAATCTTAACAAAAAAAGAGAGAGTTTATATTAATATTTTTCACTATTCATGATCTAATGTTCTATGAAGTTGTTGATGCTCGTGGATTAGGTGCTATATGTAAGAAAAAAAATATTAACATTTCTCCATTTGATTTTTCTTACAAAACCTTATAAATAGATCAAGTAAATTATAGGGACTAAAAGGTATATTGAAATATTGTGAATTTTTTAATTTTTTATAAATAAACGTATTTTTTACTTCTTTTTCATGATAATCAATTTAAAATATTTCCACAATTACTTATTTTTTCACAAAAATACCCTTAAATTTTCTTAAGATTAGTAGCATGTGAAACACAATAAAATCTTAGGGTTTTAAGAGTCTAACTGTATTTTATATTTAAAAAATATTTTGCTACCTCGTAACAAAGATATTACTTATATATAACCGATAAAAATGTGTTTATTTCAATTTAAAATTATAATTATTTAATTTAATTTTTCATTGTTTAAAAAATTAAGGAAAATTTTGATGTTTGGCATCTCGAATCTGAAAATTTGAAAAATATAAAAATAATATATTTAAATGAAAATATGAATAATACATTTCCTTTTCCAAATAATAATATATGGTTCAAATTTTTTGAGATAATTTAAAAACTATTTATAAAAATAAATTGAAATAATTTTTAAATAAAAAATAATTTAATTAGAGACTAAATTAAATGCATGATAACGTTTCCATAACTTGGAAAACTGTTGGTAAAAATTAAATGTTTCAAAACAGTTGAATTTGTGAGGTTAGAATACTCTATAAAATCAAAACAATATGCATATTAATGATGAAAAACTTTTTTTTTAATTGTTATAGAGTAATTAATTTTACTCTCTTCTTTCAATGACATATTTTTTAACCATAAAATTTTATTCGAGAAATCGAATTTATCGGACTTACAATTTATTGTTATATTAAAAGAATTAAAAAAATTAATAAAATGTTTCATTCATATTAATTTTTTTATAAAATATGTAAAATCTATAGTTAATAAAATGTAAAATAACTTTTTTGTATGAACATACTTTTTAATATAATTTTACTTTTATTATAATAACGTGGTAATTTTTTTTTGTGTGAATTAACCGTTGTTTGAGATAACTGCGTTTTTTTTTTTAACTTGGTAGAATTGTTAAAATACATTTGATTGGATAAATTGATAAATTAGATTTTTTTTCCTTCCATTTAAATTGGATAAATAAACTTTAAACATATAATTCATTTAAATAATAAATCTGACTAAATTAGATTTTTTTTTTTAAATAGACCATGAGGTCAGGTGAACCAGACTAGAACTGTGTTTAGAATAAATTTACACTAATTAAATTAACTAATATCTTTAATACTATAAAGAATGAATGGATTAATTAAATTAAAAAAATAGTATTAAAGCAATGCTTGTTAAGAATGAATTGTGCATCTAAAGCGTGAATCACCCACCGATGTTGCGGTAACGTGAAAGCGATGCGAGGTTAATTACGTGTTGGGAATCAGTTGTCAAAGAAAGAAAATTGAACGGTTTGAACCAATCAAAAACGTGATTACTCTATTTATAACACATTTTTGACATATATGCACAAAAAATGGAAAATACTACTGTAACACTACACGACAAACAACCTTGTAACTACTTATTCACAATCGTTTCAAACAGGAGAAGGCAAAAGGCAGAAGCAGAAGCCGGTTCAGTTGATTTTCCCAAATCGTTATCCATTCCTAGTAATCCTTGTAACAACACTTTTTCGAATCCGTTGTTGTTATTCTGAGAATTCTCGTTCGTTTTTTTTTTTTTTTTTCTTTGCCTTTTCAAACCGTTGCCGTTTAGTTCAACTCACGTTGGTCTTCATATATAAGCAACCCAGAAGGGTTACCACCACAAAGGAGGAAACTTTTCATCCAGGGTGGTGTGGTGGAACAAGTTTTGGCTAGAGGGTGTTTTTCTAGAGAGAGAAAAGTGTGGTTTTCAGTGATGGTGATTGCAAACTTTGGGAGAAAGGAGGCGCAGGTAATGCGACTCGGGAAATACGAGTTGGGAAAGACTCTTGGAGAAGGCAATTTTGGAAAGGTCAAGTTGACAAGGGACACTAATTCTGGCAAGCTTTTTGCTGTTAAGATCCTTGAGAAGAGAAAGATCATTGACCTCAATAACACTGATCAGGTTGCTTCAATCACTAATGCTATTTTTACTCTTCCTTGATCTGTTTTTGGTATGTGCTTTCACCAATTGCAACTTTTCAAACTTGGTTTTTGTTTTGTCACAATTCATGGCTTGAGACAGTTCAATTCTGGCTCAAAAGAATTTAAACTAGGTGGTGGTGGAAGAACTATAATGTAATTGGTTCTGTATTCGTTTTGCAACTTTTGTGCAGAGTTTATCATCACTTCTCTCTGCTTGTAAATTCTGATTGAAACACAACCTATCAGTTTTCTGATCTAGTTTTCCACTGCAGATAAAAAGGGAAATATCTACCTTGAAGCTTCTGAAGCACCCGAATGTTGTTAGATTATACGAGGTAACATCCTAATCCTATGATCCACACTGTATCCCCTCAGAAATGTGGAAGAAACTTTAAGCATAATTAAGAAAATAAAATTAACTAAGGTTGTTGTTACACTTGTTTGTTTTTACAAGTCTTAGTATTTTTGATGTGTTGTTTTGGCATTTCTTCACTTGGTCAAGAAAAGTTAGCTTAGCTTTTATTTCTTCCTGAAAACTTGTCCACGGGATTATCTGATCCGCAATTTGTACGTTTTCTTTCCTCCTTGACGTAATCAGAAAATCGAATAATCTAAATTCAATTTTTAAAATCAAATTAGCCGAAAGCATTTTATCTATATATCTCCTCTGATTACCGTATTTTATGTACCAAAGAAGAAAGTTTGAGAAAAAAAAAATTCTTTTTAAGAATAATAAACAAATAAAAATTAAATAATATGATAATTACGAAGTTATTTATATATTTATTTGAAAAAAAAAAGATGAGAAGGAGTGATTTTAATATATTTTAGTCTTAAAAATTCTTCTAAACATGGAGATATTAATATTATATGTATTTCAAAAACACTAGTAGTCAAATCCCATCTAGGTCCACACTTACCTCTATTATTGAATCACGTATGTCTGCATTTTCCCCACATTTGTATGGGTGCACGTTCTATGTCTTATTCAAATATAAAATTTCTCAATTGTGTGGCTTAAGTTAATAGATTACTGATGACGTGGCTATTTATCTTAATTTAAGGAATGATTTAATTGATTGAATTGAGGACCACCAACAATAGATGGGGTGAAGCTAAATTATGGCTCAAAACACGTTTGGATATTAGAATCAAGTTTTGCTTTCGTGCCTTTAAAACCACGTTTCGAATCTAGTTTTGCTTTTGTATGCAAGCCTTTCTAAGCTTCAACTACACCCTTCTACATTCTGATTCCAATCTACTTCTACATGAAACAAAGGCTATGAATTACATTTCCATAATTGTCAATGTCTAGAGGGTCCTCGTGTAATCACGAGGAGCAAGTCTTTGATGGCATTATTCATATAATAAGGTCCCACCATGTACCAATGGCTTCTAATTGTGAATGAGAGATGCGCCTATTAACTTGTTCAATGGTACATTTTATCTTCTTTTCTCCTTTTCAATCATTAAGCCTTATTCCATAATATTTGTCATTATTACCATGACAATACACTGTGGTTAGTGCTTGAACGTGTCCAATATGTATTTTCAGCACATATCTTTTCAGATCAGATGGTCCCACCTTAAAGTTTTTTGAGACTATTTATTTCCATTACACCATCTAACACAAGGCTTGCTCAAGAACACTTATCTTGCGTTACTATTCTGCCTTTAGTACAAGAATGAGACAAATGCTTAAACTATTAGGTCTAAGACATGTGAATGATTTGTCACATCTGTAGCATTTCCAAAACTCATATTATGTTTTGTACTCAGGTCTTGGCTAGCAAAACCAAAATTTATATGGTACTTGAGTATGTGAATGGAGGAGAGTTATTTGACAAAATTGTAAGGAACACTTGCTTGATATTATTATTTCATGATGATTTATTGCCTAATGCAATGGAAATCAATGGGCTATACTTTGTGTTCAGGCATCCAAAGGTAAACTTACAGAAGATGAAGGTAGGAAGATATTCCAACAGTTGATTGATGGTGTGAGTTTCTGCCACAATAAAGGTGTTTTCCACAGGGATCTTAAGGTAGTTTATCTGTCTTCTTGAGAACTGTAATAGTATTTTGGAGCTAGAATTGAAACTATTCTCCATGCTTACCAATTTTGGGGTCCTTTTTACTACAACAATAACTTGTTGCAGCTGGAGAATGTACTTGTGGATGCCAAAGGGAACTTAAAGATAACCGATTTTAATCTTAGTGCTTTGCCCCAGCATTTTAGGGTGAGATACCACTTCTTGAACGCAACTTCTTATTTTCCACTCAAAAGGGTAAACTTAGGAGAGTGCTTTATAAACATATGTTTAAAATAACACATCTTCCTGTCATCGATATGCTTACTATGACTAGTTATTTTAGTTCTATATAAGCATATTTCCTTCTGAAACTATTTAAAAGTATCTTGTACTTTCGTACTGTTTCAATTTCCTATTCTTGGTTATTGAAATTCATGGTCAATGAAGATTTTTTTTTTTACAATAGATATCACTCCTAGTTACAATTTATCATTTTGGTGATTGACTTGTGTGATATATCTGAAAATTTCAGGATGATGGATTGCTTCATACTACTTGTGGAAGTCCCAACTATGTTGCTCCTGAGATTCTTGCCAACAAAGGCTATGATGGTGCAACATCAGATATATGGTCATGTGGTGTTATCTTGTATGTAATTCTTACAGGATACCTTCCTTTCGATGACAGAAATCTTGCAGTTCTTTATCAAAAGGTGTTCCTATGTGATGCATCTCTGTTCTTTTTTATATAGTTTAGTTTAGTAGTTGTATAACTAAACATAGTTGTCTTTCCCGTGAGGATCACAGATTTTTAAAGGAGATGTTCAGATACCAAGATGGCTATCACCTGGTGCCCAAAACATTATAAAAAGAATGCTTGATCCCAATCCTAAAACCCGGATAACAATGGCTATGATCAAAGAACATGAATGGTTCAAGGAGGATTACACTCCTGCAAATCCAGAAGATGAGGAAGAGGGTGTGTACATTGATGATGAAGCATTTTCCATCCATGATGTGGTAATACTTTGTAACTTTCACTTGTCAACCGTTGATAATTGTTACCACTCTACTTTTCCTCAACGCTTTGGCCTGTACTCTGAACAAAACATTTATATTGGTAACAGTCACTAGAATCAGATCAGGGTAGCCCAAGATCACCACCACTTATCAATGCATTCAAGTTGATAGGGATGTCTTCAAGTCTAGATCTGTCTGGCCTTTTTGAGAAAGAGGTGAGGATACATGTATCATATCTGAGTTCATTTACCTATGTTTTAACTTCTAACATCTTTACAACTTTTTAAGGAAAGTTGACTCCATGTAACACACATTGTACTTGATATTCCAGGATGTTTCTGAGCGGAAGATAAGGTTTACATCCACCCACACACCAAAAGTTTTGGAAGAGAGGATAGAAGACATTGTAACTGAAATGGGGTATAGAGTCCAGAAGAAAAATGGGATGGTCAGTACTACTACTGATTATTTTTGTTGAAGTTTTTATGTTATATCCAACACAAATGCTAAAAACTGAAATATTATTAGTTTGGCTAAATATTCTCTACAATGTTGGATTTCAGTTGAAAGTGAAACAGATCAAAGCACCAAAAGGTCTAGATACTCTCTCAATGGCTATAGAGGTAATGCATGTTGTGACTGAGCTAAACTTCTTATACTGATGTCACAGCTTATTATATGCAATTTCATGCATACTTTTCTTACATTATCTTATCCTCAAATTCAACAGGTGTTTGAAATTAGTCCATCCTTGTATGTGGTAGAGTCAAGCAAGTCTGGTGGAGATGCTTCTGAGTATAGACAGGTATGTATGTATCATGTATACCATTTCTTTCTGCTTCCACATCAAGAAATTCAAACCTGAAATTGACAATTTTTTTTGTTATGATGTAGTTATGCCAGAAGTTATCAAATGAATTGGGTGTTCACCCAAACCAACAGCTAGGGAGCTCAGAAATGATAAGCTTGAGAAAACAGGATTTGGAAGAAACATGAAGTAAATATGTTATGCCAATTTTTGTTTAGGGTGGGATAGTTATGTAGATGTATTAACATATTAACTGTATATTCTATTTCTCTATCATATAATGTATAGAAAGTTTATATATTCATGAATTGAACCATATATTTATTATAAAATTTTGAAATGTGAAAGATAATGTTTACATAATTTATTATTGATTGAAATGTATTAAAAAAGATAATTCTTATGTATATTGCTTAATATTTAATTATTCTCAATTTTTTGTTTTTAATTAACTTTATCCAAGAAGTAATATATTAAAAGAATAACAAAATACCTAAAGAAATAGACTCACGAAGAAACTATATAAATTAAATAAATTGATACATAGTTGTTCAATCAATTCTCTGTATACATATATAATTTTTATTTTTTTTTATCATTTTATGTTTTAAATCATGAGAATATAGTCTAAATTTTAAACATAATAATATATTTTAAATTTAAAACAACATCGCTTCAAAAATACATGAATAGGGAAAAATTAACATTACAAATTAAAATATATATGCAAAAATTGTAGGAATTAAAATTAAAACTTACTTAAAACCTAAAAGTTTCGTAATTTTTCCATACATATTTAAAAACAAATAAAAATGAAATACAAAAGTAAAATTGAATATGAAATAAATTGTTTAAATCTTATAAGTCAATTAGATATGAAATAAATTTTATTACAAGATTTTTCTTATAAGATTTGAAAAATTAAGGAAAATTGAAAATGAAAAAAATGATAGCACTTTAATTTAAATGTTTTTTTCTACTGTTTGAAATTTTTAAAACTTAGTTTGAGGGTTGAAGAATTGTTATGTGAAATTTGTATTTCTAATAAAATATAATTTGCAAGGTTAAATAATAATAATAATAACAAATCATTCTTCTTCAATTTATTGTTATTTATTTACTTGATAATAATGTAGTGAAATAACTTAAAACTGAATTTAGATTTTATTTTTCTTGTGTTTTAAAAAAAAAATTTATATGTAGATTTTTTTTTGTGTTTTCATTTTATTAAATTATATACTTTATCACATATTTCATAACCTTTCTAATAATATGAAAGTAATTATGTATTATTATATTTTTTTATCATTATGTATTAAATTGTTTTTTAAATTTATTTAATGGATAACTTAATTAATTCAACCGTTTATGATGGTTTTTATTTATTATTTTAATATTTTTATGATTATTGCTTTTAAATTTTACTTGATTAGGACAAAATTTATTAATATACTCATTTTTGTTTTAATTTAAATAAGTTTGATTTGAAGTTGTTAAGATTCCAACATAAAACCAATTGGCTATATGTGGAGTAGCCTAACATGTATTTAAATTATACCAAATGACATGAGGTAGGCGATGTGGGACTTTCAACAGATCCCTCCAACGAAGTCTGTCGAACCAGGTAAATGGTACTTTTGACCCAACTAAAGGGCAACTTTTGACCCATGACAATAACTGGAAATATGTTAGGCTTTGACTCTGATACCATGTTGAATATAGAAGAAATAGGGTTTGAAATTAATTTCCCTTGTGTATAAATCACACATAGGGTAATCTATTTATAATAGAGAGGTTCAACTAAAAGATTAATCGAAAGTAAACAAAATAAACAGAAGATATTGTTTGATATTGTGGTTAACAATATCTAACAATATCTTAACAATATCAAACTATATGGATGCAACACAAGAAGGAGGATCCCCAGTAGATAAAGGTGGGAAAAAATTGGTCTAAACAACTGCAACAGATCGAGGAGGACGACCATATAATGTATAACACTTGTTAATCTTGTGACCTAGCTTGCCACAATGTTCACACTTAGGATGTCATTTTCCCTGTTTGCGAGGGCGAGTCTGGTTATCACGATGGAATGTCAACACAAAAGAATCGTTAACAAAATTGGAAATAACAGAAGAAGTGGAAGAAGTCATGAAGAGCAGGAGAACAAACCCTAAAACAATCCAAAGTAATCCAATTAACCCACGAAGCACAAATCCAAAATGAGAATACTAAAAATAAGTTTGCTAAGACTAAACGGTGCAGGAGACAACGGGACAACCAACTCCGATAGTGATGATCTCAACGGCACGGTAGTCACCTGACCGAGACAAGCAAAATCATATGTCACCGGTAAAAAAAATGAAACTCCGACAGCGGCGAATCCGGTGACTGCTCCAGCGGCAGCGGTGAAAGCAACGTGAACCAGTACACCAGGTAAGTTCCCAGGAAAGAGAGGTGGGTCACTAATGGACATACTTAAATACCAAATTTTTTCTTGCCAGAACTTTCCTAGACATGCACTTTCACACTACCAAATAAAATTCAGTAACAAAGATAATTCTTTTTTGATGTGGAGGATCAGTTTACCAGCAGTGGTGGGGCGGCTACAGTAGTGGACAAAAGGCGAAAAAAAAAATTCAAGATAACCTTAAGCTCTAATACCATGTTAAGATTCCATCATAAAACAAATTGACTATATAAGAAGTAGTCTAACATATATTTAAACCATAACAAATAACATGAGGTAGGCGATGTGAAACTTTCAACAGAAGTGATATAGCATCCTTATAATTAAAATTATTTATCATTTATCATCAAACATTTCACAATCATATCTTTCAACTTGGATTTTAGTGTTATATGTGTGGGAACATTAAGTTTTGAATATTTTTATTAAAATAAAACAAAAATAAATTTTCCTAGAAGAAATAACACGTAACAAACAAAAATATTAAAATAATTATAAATTTCATTAAATAAACAAACATCATCAACAAATATATATTTATATATATATATATATATATATATATATATATATATATATATATATATATATATATATATATATATATAAAACACCCATAATTTGAAATATTTTTAATTATAAATTTATCATATAAAAAACATTAATTTTTATGGGTTGATTTTGAATGTTATAAACTCATTTTTATGATCACCACTTTATATTTTTTAATTAATTTTTTTAATTTTATATATATATATATATATATATATATATATATATATATATATATAACCAATTAAGTTGAAAAATTTTAATTTCAAGTGTAAAGACCCGTTGAGTCAACTCAACAGTTGTAATGTGGGCCAACTCGTAACACTCTCGACGAGAAAATACATAAATACTAATAAATAAATAAATGTTTTATTTATAATTTTTTCATACAATAAAATTATATTGTAAAATAATAATAAGCATGTCAATTTATATTTAAAAAAAAAAAAAAACGGTATAACGCGTCCGGGTCGAGTTGAGAGTCTCACCCAGCCATTCACTCGCGACTCACGATTCCGAAGCGATTTTTGTTTTCGCCGCCAAAAGCTGAACGATTCCGCCACCGGCAAGTTCTATCGTCGCCGGTGGTTCAACTTCGAATTAGATCGTCTTCCTTTCATTGAGGTTTTTCTTTTTTAATCTTCTTTGTGCGATTCATCTATTTCACTTTGTCTTCAACTTAGGGTTTTGTGGCAGGACAATTATTGTGATATCCTACGAAAATAAAGAAATAAATAAATGGACATTGTGATTTTTAGGTTTATGCAAGCGTCAGTGTTAAGTGTTCGTTATATTTTCTTATATTATTTTTTATTTATTATTTGAAGTTAGGTAAATTCTTTCAAATTAGCTTGGGGATTGTGTTTGGTTAGATTGTGAAGAATGAGAGTCTAGTTATAGAGGTACCATTGAAATAATACTGTGGCCTCTTTGGGAAGTGGTGAGTGACTCCTTTGTAAATGAACAAAGGAGAGTGGATGTTGCAGTGTATTATAAATGAGGATATATAATGGGGAAGTGACATTTTGAGTATTGGTTAGAGTGCTCCAATTTAACATTTCCTGTAAACACAGTGCTAAATTCTTATGGGTTTTATTCACTTATTTCACATAATTCATCTGGTCATGCCTTTTGCTCTTTACTTTTTATATTCCCATATGCAATGATGGAGATGGAGTACTTGGAATCAGCAGAATTCTAAAACTACGCAATCAACTGTTAAAATAATTTAAAAAATTTACACCAGATTTTAGGGAACAGGAACTAGGAAGATTTTATGTTAGATGCAATCAAGGTTAGTACTATTAGAGACAGAAAAGGCAGACTGAATGTCATTCTTAGTTCTTAGTCTCAGTGTGCTTCTCTCACAATTCAACATTTATGCACAAGGATTTTATTAAATTTAATCTTATAGTTTAAATAACTTAGCATGTTTGGAAAAGATTAATGTCGGAGAAATTATCACTTTTTCTCTTTAGAAAGTAGTCAACAATCTAGCAAAAGCAAGTTATTATTTCCCCAAAATAAGTTAATCCAATATCTACTAAGGTTAGTTCAAGGGGATTAGTTAATCAATAAAACTGTAAGGACATAAGCTATCTTGATGTGTTGGACTATACACATGCCTCTATTTACACATCAAGTGATTAAGATTATTTATGTAAATTTTCCCTTTCTATTTTTTGATGGTGTATTCTGATTCTAAATTTCTCTCATATATCATCTGAAAATCCTCTAGTTATATTATTTAAAAGATTTAAGACCCACATTTCTTCCACCTTTGCCTTCCTTTTGTTTATATTATATCTGATTTTTTATTTATATCATTCTTGTCTATCGTATTTATGCTTTTTTTTATTTTCATAAAACATTGCATTGAGATCAAGGCACACAGTTACTTACATCATTATTGCTGAAACAGGGAAGGCTCTCATATTGCTTTACTTGTAGATTGCAAGTTTTATGTGCCTTGTATTCAGCACCAATGCATATGTGAGTGGAATTATAATTGCTCTGTTTTGGATGTAATGGCTCCAATACGCACCACTGGATTTGTTGATCCCGGTTGGGATCATGGCATAGCCCAAGATGAGCGGAAAAAGAAGGTTAGATGCAATTACTGTGGCAAAATAGTTAGTGGTGGGATATACAGATTAAAGCAGCATT